TTGCCACCCTCTTCACCTATCCCACTCCACCTGTGCCTGGCCTGGGGAACCTGGACTTGGGGCAGCCTCGACCGCCTTGTGTGCCTCCACAGGAACGAGAAGTGCCACGAACACTACACCACGGAGTTCCTGTACAACCTGTACTCCTCGGAAGGCAGGGGCGTGTTTGACTGCAGGACTAACGTGCTGGGCCACCTACAGCAGGTACAACTCCAAGGGTGATTCCCCGGCCCCAGCAGTACTCACCTGCAGGGTTCCCATCTCCATCCCCGTGTTCTTTGGGGGTCCTAGGAGGACCCAGGAGAGAAAGAGAGACTGTCCTTCATGCATGCCCCGAGAAGGTGCTTGCCAGGCTGTTCTCATTCTCAGCACTCTGGGGTGGAGAATGTTCTCATCTCTCCTTCACGGAGAGATGACTGTGGGGTTGAGACCCACGCCTGGCACTTGGGCCCTGGGCTGAGCCCTCATCTTCTGGGAGGCGGCCCAAGCCTCTGTCATCCTGTTATGTCCTCCTGGACTATTTCCTCACCTGCTTTATAAATCCTGTTGCCTCGTGCTGGCTTTCAGGAGGCCTGGGGTGGGGCCATGAATCCTGAGTCCCAGGGGTCATTTCTGGTCTCTGGAATGGAATGGCTTCTAGGCTGCGCTTTAAGACCCTCCAGGTTATAGGAAGAGGCCTGATGGCAAGAGGTCAGAAGTAGTCATGTTTGCTGCAAGGACACAAGGAGACAGGCACGGCTCATGTGCTGGCTTAGGACCCCCTTTGTGTCCAGTCTCCTTTGGGGCTTGGCTAGCTCCAGGGTATAAAATTTGTCCTGTTTCTAGGGTGGTGCTCCAACCCCCTTCGACCGAAACTACGGGACCAAACTTGGCGTGAAGGCCATGCTGTGGATGTCGGAGAAGCTGCGGGATGTCTACCGTAAAGGTAGGTGGGGTGAGCTGGCCCGACATGGCTCTCTGAGGGTCTCTGGGGGCATGGCCTTGCCTACCACATGTTTGTCTCCATAGGACGAGTGTTTGCCAATGCTCCGGACTCGGCCTGTGTGATCGGCCTGCGGAAGAAGGTGGTGGCCTTCAGTCCAGTCACAGAGCTCAAGAAAGATACTGATTTTGAGTAAGTCCTTTTGGAGCTGCATGGAGAAGGGAGGATCCCGGGAGGCCCAGAATGTTCCTGGACAGGGCCCTTGTCAGACTTTAAAGAACAGGAGTCGTATCTGGGAGTTCTAAGACCAAAGCGGGGCCATTTGGGAGGGTCTGTGATGAGCAGGCTGGTTAGCCTGTGGCTCTTGCACCTAGCTACACCTCAGCAGCATTCCTCCCACCCCCGACCAGAGAAATGGGGTGCCCCCATATACCACCCTGGTCACAGTAACACCGGGTTTAAGGGACTGCGGGATTCAGCTTCTGATCTGTCTACCCAGGCACCGCATGCCACGGGAGCAGTGGTGGCTGAATCTGCGGCTGATGCTGAAGATGCTGGCGCACTACCGCATCAGCATGGCAGACTACGTGTCTGGGGAGCTGGAGCATGTCACACGCCGCACCTTGAGCATAGACAAAGGTTTCTGAGGCCACCGTCACCACCCTTCCCGCTTTCCCGGACTCTTGCCCTTCCAGTGCCAGCCTCGGATCCCAGCACTGAGGGGAGCTCACAGGGAACTTGGAGCCAACGGCTGGAGGATGGGGGTCGAGTGTGCTGCCCTGGGCCTTCGCCCCCCTAGCCACCTCCAGGACAGAGCACCTGGGAGCTCTCACCTTCCAGCCCTGGCTGGACAGACCCACATTGCCTCTCCCTCACTGGTCAGCTGGCTGCTTCATCACGTACTTTTTTATTTCAGAAATAAAGTCACCTGACTAGAGTCTGCTTACCTGGACAGCATAACCTGAGGAGTCCAGGGAGAGGGTTGTCAGGACCCACGTGCTATTATGCAAGATGATATGGTAGGGGACCCCTTGAAGGGCACTAGGAAGGACCAAGAAGAGTTACAGAGCCTGGTGTGGGCCCCACACCTGCCCCCTGAATAGCTGGGGTCTCAGCCTGTGGACAGTGGACCCTGGGTCTGGAGGGGAGACCGTCACTGTTAGTATAGTGTTCCCAGCTGGCTGCTGACACCCCCACCCACCCGCCGGGCATTTCTTGGGGCCTACAGGCTGACTCCTTAGAGAAGCCTGTGAAGGTCAGAGCCCTGGCTACCCCCACTGCAGGTCCTGCTCCAATCCACTGGCCACGGTTTCTGTGTGAGCCTCTGCTGGGTTCATTCCCTGGAACGGCTGGATATTTACAGAAGATGGAGGCTGTTCTCCTGCCTGAGGATATGGAGGTCGAGGGTTGTGTTTTTGGCTTTGTGGGCCTGTTGGCCACATGGGTGTGGTGGTTGCCCTGAGTAAGGGTCTCCCTATGGGCCTGGACTTTTCAGGCAGCTTTAGGAACCAGATGAATTGCCAGGGCTTCCCCCTTGGCTGCCTTAGTCCCAACCTAAAGGGCAGCAGCTCTGGCTGGACTAATGAGGACAAGACAAGGTCAAGCGCTCACATAAATGGCTGCAACTTCTCAGCCTCTGGTTCCCATGCTGCTCTTTCTCATACGTTGGCCCCCAGGAGACAGAACTGGGAAGCCATTCTCCTGCAGAGGACAGACCACAATGGAGCAGGGCCTCCCTCTGGTGCCCAGGGTACTGGGGGTAGCAACAGTGGTTTGATATCCAGAGCTGGCCGGGTCAGTTGTCCCTGTATTCTGCACAGTCAGTTACCAAACATGGGGTCACTGTTGAGTGCTTCCTGGATGTTGAGACCCCTGAATAAATCTTAGGGTGATCAGGGAACCTTAGGCAGCATTCCCTAAAGCATGATTGCTGATAGGCTTACCCATTGCACTAGCCCCCTGCAGCCCTGCTTGGTGGCAGGCCACACAATGTTCCCAAGTCACCATGTCATACTGGTTCATATGTGTGGACTCAGAACCCAACATGAGGAGCAATGGGAAAGCACCTTGCAACTCTTCCAGTAGCATAATAATATCTAAGCCATTGCCCCAGCAGCCATCAGAGCCCCCACCATCCTGCGGCCTCGCATCCCTATGTCGTCTAGTCTGATGACATGAACTGGGTGATTCTGCCTATTGGAATGTCTGGCAGGTCACTTGGGGAAAGGGCAGAGCAGGCCATCCTTGACTTTTGTGAAGACTAAACAGAGGGTCGGGGTCAATGGAGCATGCTGCATCAATGGCTTGACTGAGATGGGCAGGTCCTTTCCAATCCTTGCCCAGCCCAGCGTCTGTAAGGGCGTCATCTTCCCCAAGGCTGTGCTCAATGGCTGCCCACTCTGTATAGCTGCTGCTGTACGCAGCTTTGCACAGTAGAGGACCGACCTCTCTTCCTAATGGGTGTTCTCATTTTGCAGCGGTTGTATGGGATGACCCAGGTACAGAGTAAGAGTGGACCTTCCAGGGAAGGTCTGAGACCAGGCCTGGCCATGGAACTCAGGGGTGCTTGTCACAGACTCTTCAACAGAAGAAACTGCAGCATGTCTTTGATGTCATGATGCTCTGCTCAGAGTGCTGCATGGATGCAGGTGCTGCCAGGCAAGCATGCAGCTGAGATGCCAATGGTCAGCCCCAAGGGTCACTGCAAAGCTGCTGTGGGTCTGTCTCCCAGGCAACATGCCAGCTGCCCCCATCTGGCTGGAGTCCCAAGAAGCCAGTGTCCTCAAGGCTGCTGGGAGAGGGGTCCAGGACCCTGGAGGATTTATGTCTTGTGCAACAAGACCTGTATTGTGTCTCTTGAGGAACAGAATCAATGGAATGTATATACGTTGTAAAAGTGGGTTCGCCAGACTGGTTTACACAAGCGGGCTGGGTGGCCCAGTAATAGCCATCTGCAGGTGGGAGAGGCCGAGAACCTGGTAGCTGTTAAACGCATGCCTGCATGTCTCAGCAGCCCCAGTCTGTTGCCCAGTGCCTGGAGGTTCCCTGGAAAGTCTCTGGTCTTCAGTTCACACTGGAAGCTGAGAAAGTTGGGGTTTGGATTCTGATGTCACCAGAGGAAGGAGACAGCAAGCAGGGCTGGCAGGCAGCATTGCCTTTTCACTTGGACCACTTTATATCTGGGCTGCCTGCTAGGAGGTGCTGCCACTCTGGAAATGGCCTCTAGACCATCATAATGCCTCTCACTGGTTCTCCTGCTCCCCAGCTGACCGGTTCAGGAGTCTCTGCTGGGGGACACATGCACTTGCTCCAGAGTCACTGTGAATATCCACTAACTGTTTACCCTGTGCTCCCTCCATGGAGGACAACTCAGGGTCTGGGAACAACAGCAGGCTGTGGGTGGACACTTGCTCAGTCTGGGCATCTGCCACACAGTGGCTCTGCAACATGGCATCACAGGCTGGAGATGCAGACACAGGACCTGTCTCATTCTGGTCACTGCCAGGTGGGGTCAGGTCTTGTCCCATTCCCTGGTTCCTTCAGCATGGGACTCAGCTCTCAGTATGAAATTCCTGACAGGTTCAATGTTTATTCAGCTGCATGGCAGCTTTGGGTCCTGGTGATGGCAATGGCTTTAGGAGACACGCAGGATACAGAGCAGCTACCTCTTTCCTGAGCTCCACTCTTTTAGGGGTGACACCTCCAGACTCAGTTCTCCCTGCTGTGAGTTGGACAGGAGGGTGCCCCACCCCTGTGATGCCAATTCCTGTTTTGCTCAAGAGGCTACACCTGGAGCATTCAGAGTAGGGGCTGAAGGTCCCCTTGCTCAACTCCAAGTAGGGCCCCATGCTGTGCTGTAGCTTGTCCCCAGTCCTGGCAGAGAAGGCTGGAGGTGGGGATCAGGGATTAGGATCTTATCACAACTGGTACAGTTTGCCCATCCCTGAGGTATGCATGAGTGTGCCACAGGAGGAAGGAAAGCCAGGGTGTTACAGGCGTGTGGTGTGGTTCAGGGGGCAGCTGCTAGTATTTCCAGATTTTTATGTCCTGGAACAAGGAATTGGAGCAGGGACACAGATACTGACAGAAACAGTTTATTAAGAGAGAAAGTACTCCCAAGATTGGAGGTGGACCAGAGGAGCAACGTCCCAGTGGTCCTGAACTTTCAGCAGTAAGACCCTTACAGGTCACCTATAGGGTCGGCTATTGTATGCAGCAGGCTTCTTGGGCCACGTCTGCCCGTACCATGGTGGTGGTCGTGGTTCCAGACTTTTTGCTCATTGTTCTATATATGCTAATCTCAATATCTTTCTTGGTTCTATTCTCTCGTGGCAGGTGTAAGCTCACCCCAAGGCCCCCCTGCCTAGTGGGTAAGTTACTGGCCCTACCCCAGCTGTTCTAACAAAGACAGCTTTATTGATGGCATCTGATACCTCAGAATGCTGATCATCTCTGGATGTCCCCAACAATTACTCTATCTGGGTGACATCCCTCTCCTGAAGAAGAAATAAAAAGGACAGTGTCTGCCCATCCTTGTCCTGAGAGGAATCCGTTCTCCTAGGCTACGGTATCTAAGGACATCTGGGACACAATGTCTTGTAAGACCATTTCAGGCCACCTCCCTGAGGACAGGCTTGACACGGGGACATCAGGGCTCCCCCATAGTTGCTGAGAAACAGCAAGGCCCTGCCTGTCACTGAGATGCTGGCTTCCAGCCCAAACAAAGTGCTTTATTGGAGGACATGGCTCGTACAGTCCCCCTTGAGAAGGGTCAGGCAGTGCCCAGATCCTCAAGGTCTCAGCTGTAAGGGACCATGCTGACGGGCAGCACCTCCGCCAGCCCTAGGCACAGGAGAGGGGTCTGCCCAGCAGGCAGTCCCTGTTCCTCCCCGGGCCTGGTGTTGGGAACCAGAGGGAGGCTTTCCAGGTTGAGCTGTATTTCCACAGGATGCAGGGTCCAGGGACTGGGGCATATGAAGTCACTCCATGTCCTGGGGCTCCAGCCTGTGCAGCGCCTGTAGCCGGCTGCCCACAGTCTGCTGGACAGCCTCTAGCCCCTCCGTGTCCAGTTCCCGCAGGAGCAGTAAGATGGCAGTCAGGATGTTCTGGGGACAGAGAGGGTTACCTAGAGACTGCCTGGTGGCATCCTTTAGAGGGTGGACAGTCTCGGGATGAGGGGGCAGGGCTTCCAAGCAACAACCTGGTGAGGTCACAGCACAGACACTGGATAACTGCTTCCCTATCCAGTTCCTGCCAGTCTTAGGTCTGTGTCCTAGCTTCAGATGGAGAAACTGAGCATAGAGGCTGGGGGCCCAGGACAGCTCAGTGTGGCATTCTCTCATACAAAGTGGTGAGAAAGAGTGTTTCCAACCAAAGACAAGAGGATGGCTGAGGGGCAGTACCAGTGGCTCACTGGGAGGAATGAGCCAGAAGTGAGTAACTTCTGACCCCTGACTTCTACAGCACACTAAGGCCTCTGCAGACCCCTATTTGTGTCCTTGCTCTACAGATGCTGGCCAGAGGGTGACCAGCCAGAAGGTGGGCCTTTCTTTGGGGTGGGTGTGCCCATTCTAGCTGTGGGCCAGAGAATACCTGGGGGGCACCAGTAGACAAATGCCTTTGGCAATTCTCTGTGGAGCCCTTGAGGACCGGGAAAGGAACAGGAGACTGGGCATAGGTCTGCTCTTGGAGTTGAATTTGACATGGGGGCATCAAGTGGAGAGGGAGGAATCCTGAGGGACAGTGACCTCGAGAGGTGGGGGCTCCAGCATGCTGGAGTTGGAAGCAGAACTGGGCCTCGTGCCCGCCCCCCACTTCCTCCCTATGAGCCTACATCTGGCCCCATGTTCTGCTGTCTGGAGAGGGAGCGGTGGTCACTCACCCTACTCTTGTGACTCCTCAGGGCATCCCTCTGTGAGAAGGAAGGAGGATGGTCTCCAGCAGTCTGGCCTGGGGTTCTGCTGGTGAGAGGGAGACAGAGTGTGGTGGTCAGAGGGCTGTGGGCAACACCTGCAGCCAGACCCCACAATGAAGACACCAAGTCACTCGCAGTGGCAAGTGGTCCCAGTCCAGAGCAGCAGATGGGGGGCAGGCACCCTCAATCTAGGCATTTTCTAACGGCACAGGAACCAGTGTACAGAACAGGGTCCCAGAGCTACAGGGAGCGGCTTCTTTGTGCCCAGGGCTCTCCGCCTGCATTGCTTTCCACCCAGGGCTTCAGGGAAGGCACTGGCACGGAAATGACCCTGGCGGGAGTCAGAGCAGAGGAGTGGCCTGTGGTCACTCCCAGGGTTCATCTCCCGTGCCATCCACAGATGGGAGAGAGCAGGCTGCACGTGCCATGTGGAACTCAGCTGTGGCCCCTCTAACGAACTCACAGCCATCCTCCTGTGCCATTCTGACCAAGCATAGTCACAACAAGCAGCAGTAGTCACATTCAAGGCCACGGAGGAACACGACAGCCATAGGCTGCTTCCGGCTCTGCATCACCCTTCCTCCCCGGGCCACCGGCACTGTGTTGAGCTCACTTCCCTCCCCAGAAGACAGGAAGCTTCCTCATGGCCTGAGGATACCCCTGGAAGTAAAGGTCTTGATCCCTGGCAGGCTCACTCTGTTTCCTCTGTGTAGCTCAGCAGGCCCGGGCTGGTCTCAGTTGTCGAGCTGACAGAGCTGAGGGTGTAGGAGGGCTTGGGACAGCCATTGCCTGCACCCTCTCTGTCTGGGGCAGCAGTGATCTCATCTCCCTCCATCAGTGCGCGAGTCAGCTCTTCCTCGGTCACAGCTTGGGGAGAAGGACAGAAAGGTAAGGGTGTCACAGGCCTGTGCTGCACAGCTCCATGCAGCTCCGGCCTCCTGGGGCTTCAGCACGCCTGCTGCTGTGTGTATGGGGGCTGTCCCTGTGGAGAGTCAGTTCTGCTCCTTCCGATCCCCAATCCCAGAACGTGTGTGACACTTGGCAGATGGACAGGGGGTACTTGTGAACATCAGATCTTGCATCTTCTAAGAGCAAACCCCAAGTCCAGATAAATCTGCATGGTGCTAGGGTTGGGCCCAGGCCTTGCACATGCTAACAGGCTCTCTGCTATTTCTCTGGAAATGACTACATTTCCAGTCCCTAAAACAAATTTGAAAAAGAATGGGCTTTCCATATTGACTTCATCACTCTTGTTCATTAAGTGTCTGGGAGAAAGCAATTACAAGGTGAGCATCAGAAACTGGCTGCTAAGAGCATAAAGTCCTGGTGTCAGCGAGCTGGACCCTGCCAAGAGCCCATAGCAGGGCTCCCCATCATGACAGAGGGGCATGCAGACACAGTATAGGTGGGCATGATGTGGGGGGCAGTGGGGGTCTCCTCCATGTGGCTCCAGAGGCCTGGGTGCCAGTGCAGCTGAGCCCACACCATGCTGCCCAGTTACCCCACTGCAAACCCTCACCATAGCATACGGACTTTCCTCACAAAGCGAGGCAAAAGGAGGAGAGACTGTTGAGGAACCCAAGTCCAAGTGGGCTTAACAGACAGGAGCCTGTGCTGACTAAATGCTGCAATTTATATCTGAAAGGGGACACTCTCACACGGGCTGCTCCTGATGATACTATGCAATGGGCATAAGCCCATTTCCGCAACCTGGGAGTCGCAGAAGACAGGGAGGCGGGGTGCCTGGGAAGCCCCTGGAATGGGGACCACCTCAGTTGCCAGTGGGTGGACATGCCAGACCCTACCTTGGTTGTCTAGCTTCTGCAGGTGGGGTAGGTTGCGCAGTACAGTCATGCGGTAAAGGTGCGGGCTGGTGCCACAGCACGGGTTCTCGGCCAGCCACAGCACTCTGAGGTGTGGTAGATCCTTCAGGTAGAACAGCTCATCCAGACTGGGGATACTGTTCCTCCTCAGGTACAGCTCGCTCAGGCGTCGGCAGCCACGTACAGGTTCCAGGGTGGAGACACTGTTGACACTGTGGGACCGGCACACTGTTAGGGACCCAAACAATCTGGATCGCCGTGGGCCAGGACCCTCCACCTGTGTGGGGCTGCCTCAGCCATGAAAGGTTTTGGCCTTAGAAATGGGTCAAAACCAAGCAAGTCAGGGCTGGGGAAGAGGTAGCGTTAGGAGGGGTCCCTTAACTTGAGGCACCACGTGGCAGCTCCTTGGCCTAAAGCTCTGCATTCTCATGGAATCACTGTGACAGATGGGGCACTTCACCCTCCTTTGTAGGTGACACTGAGTCCCCACGGGACAGACTTAGCCCTCAGCAGGCACAGCTAAAACTTGGCAACAATACCCACAGCCCTACATCACATGCAAAGCCGCTCTGCTTCCAGAATCCAGGCTAAAGACAAACAGGATTTTAGAGTGATTTCCATCCTGTAGGGAAGGGAACACAACGCAGGAAGGGAAAGACAGAGCATTCAGAACCCCAAAGTCCTTATCAACACAACACACCAGATCTTTACAAACGTTCTACCTCCCAGGTGTAGTGTTAGCCTGCTGCACTAACCCCACCCATGCTCCCTCTGCTCTGACATGTTAACATGCTCTAGGAAAGAAACCGGCATCATGTTGACATGCAGACTACCCACAAGCCACCACCTGGCAGGCAGTAGGGGCCGTAAGTATCAGTCCTATCTTAGGTCCCAGAATGCTCAGGGGGGAATCTAGGGATGGATGAGCTCCTAGAAGTGATAGAATCAGCAAGGTGGAGAAGGTAGGGCACTGGGAGGTTCTTAGAAACAGATGAGGCCACAGGGAGGACTGGCCTGGGTGGACTACTGTTCATTATTAGCAGGCTTGACTAACCACGGCTACAAGAGCACAGATAACTTCCTGGGGAGGATGTGAGAGGGCAAGCAGAGGGGAGCCTTCGGAGGCCCAGTTAAGTCCCTGAGAAAGCAGGTATGAGTTGCAGGAGGGCCAGGCTCTTGTAGGCCCACTCCCCAACCCAGAAGCTGCTATCCTAGACTGTGCTGGGAGTCTCCAGCTTTCCTATCTCCCCTGGGTCCCACAGGAAGATCATGCAGACTCCCACAGCTTCCATACCCTGGGACTATGGTGACACAGGGTCTTACCTGAGTGAGATCACTTCCAGGCTGGGCATCTCACGGCATATGGAAATCTAAGGAGGGAAGAGTGGGGTGGTGAGCTGGCAACCGTGTCCCGTTGTCACTTCTCAGGTCAGGGAGGACATCTGTCCTGGGTCCTAGCACCTGCACTAATGGGGCCAAGGAGCATAGCCTGCAGAAGCAGGGCGCTCCGAAGAATCAGCGCCTGCCGGTCTCTGCGGCCCAGACTGCCCTTGCAATGCTCTTCCCTGGGGTGGGTGTTTCCACCTGACCGTTTAAGACAGTTCTAGAGACAGAACATCATTATATTCAATGCCCTCAAAGGACATCTGGCTGGGGATCTTGGTCTCCTATGCCGCAATACAGAAAACCTTTTCTCTTGCTGCTGCTGAGGCGCAAGCAAAGGACAGACACCCTTCCTGCCAGTGGATCTGGGCCCAAGTCAGACACAACAGCAAGGAGGTTTTGGCTACAAGACACTGTCGGATCTGCAGATCAGACCTGGGTCGTGGGCTCCACAGTCCCAGCTTGGTACACTGTCTAGTCTCTGCCTGCCACGGTGGGAAGGGGGTGAATCCTGAAACTGGGCCATCTGACAGGAGGCCATGCAGAGAGCCTGTGAGGATGTCTTTGAGGCAAAGCACCACCCAGGACTCCTCCAAGAGTGGAGCTTTGGCCCGGCCCTCTTCTGTGTGGGTCCTGAACTGATGCCCACAGTTCTGTGACTTTCTCTATTCTTCTGAGGAAGAGGTATCTGGGAGATGATGGAATCAAGGCAGAACTTACATCTGTGAGCTGGCTGCCCCTGGGGAAGAAAAGACAGACATACTTTAATCTTGTTGAATGGAAATGACAATTGTCTATACCTCTAACGATTCTATGATCCGAATGGCACAGTAAGGAATGTTGGGTACCCAGATAACAGCAGAGATACCACAAATGATTAGGTTGATTTCTGACACTACTACACGCTTGGTGTATGGGGGGTGTTCTCTGTCTGCAGGACACACGATTTACTCCTCACAGATGCCCACAGCAGAAAGCCGTTTCCTCTCACAGACATGTTCAAAGGCTGAGCATGCAGCTTATGAAGCAAGCTTCACAGGCCTGCAATGAAGCTGTTGTTTCTGCCTGCACAGAGAGAGCCCTGCCGTGTTGGCTCAACAAAGAAAGGCATTATTGAAAACTCAGAGGACAAAAGGGACTGTGGTTCAACACCAGCTGTGCCAGGGCAGAGAAAGGCTTTTAATTAACCAAGTCCAGTCTTTCCAATAGCGTGCTGACCCTTCAAGGAGCAAGGGGCTGACTTGCTGTGCCTCTTCTAGGTGCTTTGGCCACAGTGTCCCACCTGAGTCCCCAGAGAAACCTGTAGCTCTTTCGAACCCTACGAACACAAACTCCTCCTGAAGCTCTGACCTGTCAGTCTTAGTGGGACCCAACCATGCATCTGTGAGCGCATCTTTCCTAAAACATCTAAGTTCCAGGCTATCTCTCAGACCTGGTCACCCTCTCCAGCATCTAGTGACCACGGAATCATGACTTTACAACCTCAGTTCTTTCTTCTGGTAGACACACCACTAAGCACCTACGTTTTCAGATAGCAGCCGCACTCACAGAGGGTTAGTGGAAGCCCCTCGGCGAGACTAGAAGGAAATTCTAGCTGTCAGGCCAGAGCCACAACTCCTCCGAGGCACTGGCCCCGGGGTGGGCCTGTAACCTGGCTAGGTTGGGGTAGCAGGCGCCGCAGGGGGGGCGGAGGGAGGAGGGAGGAAAGGGGCTCTGCTCCCTCCCGCGCCTGGCCGTCCTCACCAGCAGTTGAGCTTCCGCACGCTGTGCAGCTCCGAAGCTTTGGTTCGGGACAGGACCATTTTTCGCGTTAGCTTCATGGTGGCCGCGGGGCCGCGGGACCAGCCGCCCCCTTGTACACTCAGCTAGCGGGAGAGGCCTTCGCCGCGGCGCGTTTCTAGGGGCGGGGCCCGAGTCTCCAGGGGCGGGGCCTGTGGCCCCATTGGTCGCTAGAAGAGAGGGTGGATCTGCACGGGCGCAAAGGGACAGGCCGACTTCCGGGACAGGAGGCTCTGCCGCGTTCCTTTGGCGGCACTCGGAGCCTGCGATCCTGCGCATGCGCGAGGCTCCCGGTTCTGACGCGTTTGGGCCTCCTGTCGCGAGGAGGTTGGTCCTCTGCTGGATCTCCGGGCTGGCGGGGCTAAGAAGGCGCGGGTGTGCGAGACTCGGGACGCCAGGCCGGTCCCGGGGTCATCGGGAAGGATAGAGCTGCCACAGTGCAAGCCGGACCGAGTGGGGAAGGTTAACGGAGTCCTCGTGGAATACTCCCGCAGAAACCCCTCCAGGGCCGCTTGCTTCGGATCCTCATCCCTCCCAGGGATGGAGGTCACCCCTGCGCCCTTGCCTATTCCTGCGCGAGCCCAAACCAAGGATTTGAGTTACAAAACAGTTAACCCATCGCCAGGCGTTGGCTCGTGCTTGTAGTTGATTCAGTCAGGGTCTGAGGCAGGAGGATTTGTCTGAGCCAAACAGCCCCTAGTCAGTTACAGAGTGAGACCGTGTCTTAAAAAACAAAGCCAGGCAGAGGCAGGAGGATTTAAGAGATTGAGACTATAGCCTGGTCTACAAGTGTGAGTTCTAGGACAGCCAGGGCCACACAGAGAAACCGAGAAACCCTGGCTGGAACCCCTACCCCGCCCACCTCCCCACCCCCCGAAAAAAGTCAGGGGGCGGAGCTGGGGCTGGAGGAACCTTTCAGAACATTGCTTTTTCGGGGAAGTCAGGTCTATTCCCATCACCTACAAGGCGATTCACAACCTTCTGTAACTCTAGTTCCGAGAGATCCGACGCACTGTTCTGGCCTCCGCGTGCACCAGACATCTCGCTTGCAGTACCCACATACGTGGAAGCACAACACACACGTGCAGGAAAAATAAAACTAAAAACAAAACTCAAACAGAAAATAGACTTTATGGTTTTGAAAGTCTCCCCACCCTATGCCTGTGATCTGTCAGTGTGCATCTCAGGTGGTCACAAATGAATGCTTTGTTTTGTGAAGCTGGCGCTGACTTTATTTTTAGGTTGAAAACTTCTATACCATTTCCTGGCCTACAGATTACACCAGGACAGGCACTGGGAACTTCGGGCCCTTCAGAGGTGACAAACTGTACTTAATGAACTTTTTCTAGGGTTTCCCTATGAACCACCCTGGCCTACTTTTACCAAAAACTGGTTTCAGGGGCTAGTAAAATGGTTCAGTAGGTAAAGACGCTGGCTGCACAAACCTGAAAACCTGAACTCGCTCCCTGGAACCCACAGTAGAAAGAGAGCAGACTCCCGAGGTTGATTTATCTTCTGATCTACACATGTGTGTCATTAACCACTATAACAGTGAGGCCTGAGCTGAAAGATACAGAGAGCAAGCAACTCAGCCTAGCCAGTATGGTGGGAAGGTGTTTATAGGCTCAGTTTAGCTTAGGTCCTGTGGCCACACCAACGGAGGCTGTGTAAGAAGGACACAGGTGATAGAAAAGTGACTGGGGAGGGCAGCTGGTATTTGGGGTCAAGACTTGGAGGGGTGTCTGACAGGAGAGCTGGGCATCTCCTACTCCCCTTTCTGTCCTGGAAGAGATCTAGCCCTAGGGAGGAGTTGTATCACATTATACCAAATGCCGGTGAGGCTGATGGAAAAGTGTGGAGTTGCTACCCTGGTCAGCTTGGATTTGACTACCCTAGTTCTTGCCTCTTTTACCTAGACAGAAGTGACTAAGGTGCAGGGGTGGTACAGGCAGAGAAAGGGTCAGCCTGTGGGCGGGCCCTGGTCCTGCAGCTTTTCCAGGCTTGGTATCTGACCCTTGCCCGTTGATATCCACACTGGGACCTCCCTGCAAAAAGACTATTCCTGGAGACTCTTGGTAGGGGAAGGGTCTGAGGAAAGAGGCCCTGCTGCAGAGCTGTGGCATCATGAGTTCTGACTGAAGCAGTGGAGGGCCTTGGTTTTCAGGGCTGTGGCTTTACCTGCCTTGAGTGTTAAGTCTCAAAGCCAAGACTGACAGGTGCCTACTTGACATAGCAAAGCCAGTCTGGCCACCAGGTTCTCCCTTGGTCCCTACCTGTTACAGCGTATGGCTGGCATACCCTGCCCCCATCCTAATCTTTTCCAGCCCAGGGGCTGGGCTGCTCTTCCCCCCAACTACCATTCTTTATATAATCCAGCCATTTTGGTTACCTGGCCTCTTTCATCTCCTCTCCTGGTCAGTCTCTTGGCCCAAGCCACCCATGTTGGTTATCGGCTTCCTCTCTGACTCTCCCAGATGTCCCTGCCTCTGTTTATGCTCTTCCTTTTCTCTGTAATAAACTTTCTCCTCGGGGCTGGAGAGATGGTTCAGTGTTTAAGAGCTTTGCCTGCTCTTCCAAAAGGTCCTGAGTTCAATTCCCAGCAACCATATGGTGGCTCACAGCTATTTGTAATGAGTCTTGGTACCCTCTTCTGGCCTGCACTGTATACATAATAAATAGATAAATAAATAAATAACTTTCTCCTCCACCATACCCAGGAGCAGTCATGTCCTTTGTTTTTCAATTTCTTTCTTTTTCTTTCTTTTTTTTCTTTTTATTCATTGAGGAGTCATGGGCAACTGACCTAGACCCATGCCCCTTGAGTTCCCAAAGCACAGCACTGTCTCCCTGGAAGCTCCTGCTTCTCTTGGCAGGGGGGGGGGTTTCTCTGGCATCTCTGGTTTGGGAAGACAGGAGGAGGGGGAGGTTTGTCATGCAGCACCTAGTACTTCTGCAGACCGTGTCATATCTGACTGCTGGAGGACCTGCGGGTTAGTGGAAGGTCCTGATGGCTTTGACTGAGATCTGTAATGAAAGACTACTAAGCACATGGTTCTGGAGTGCACTGCTGGGGCTCAGTTATGTTCCCAGAACTCAGTTATGTCCCTTTCCCCCAACAACTCTAGGCTAGGTTTAACCCAAAGAGAAGCAAACAGCAAATGTGTGTGATCTGGAAGATGGAGGAACAGCATCAATAGCCACATGAAATGGTGTGGGAGGTCCTTCTGTCTATGTGTTGCTTTTATTGGTTAATGAATAGCGGCTCCTTGCAACAGGAAGGTCACTGTGGTGATGGGCAGAATATAATGGTGGTCCTTCTTACCCTGTGGCCAAGTCTGTTCCCACAGCCATCTTGCATGCACCCAGAAGCACCCTGGCATCACTTGGTGCAGACTCAGAACAGAACCCTTCTGTTCTCCCTGTCTGTCCGACCCTGCATCTATAGTTGGGGGGGAACACTTGGCTCTCCAGATTCTGAAAGCACCCTTGCTCCACTTCAGGAGGGCTTCTAAGGTGCTTCCCTGAACCCTGCAATTTCTTGTCTCAGACTTCCACTTCCCTATGCTGGAATAATTGCGTAAAGTTTGGCGCCTCTAACAAAAGTCTCATTTCGAACGCCAAGGAGCGTGTTTTCCACAAAGAGCCTGGTGCCGACAGGAAAGTAATCCCAACCCACTTAGTCTGAAAGTGACACCATGCCTCCCTGGCCCGAGAAGCTTGAGTAGTGGCTTCTTACCTCTGGTCAACCATAGCTCTCAGGTCATGGCCTCATCCTGTGTGCTACTGGCCTAAGGCCGCTGTGGTTGACTTCTTGGTATGGAGTTGGCAGTTTCACATCTGGAAGGAAGAGAGCTTGGCCAAGTTCCTCAAGTTCACATTTGGGGCTGGTCCTGTCTGGGTCATGTCCTGTCCCTGAGTTGGCTGTGCAATACCCCATCTGTCATCGGTAGTCCTTCTGGGGGACTGCACTGTTAATGTCCTGGCTGCCAGGGGAACATGCTGCTGCCAGCCTGGCCTTGCTGGGCTCCTGCTTGGTTTCCTCAGCACTGACACTTCTTGCTGCTGATGTCCCTCTCTGGGGGGCCAAGGCTCATCCTCTAGTGTCGTGTGACTTTTCCTACAGAGACATAAACAAGCATCTATAGGGTAATGACAATAGACAGAGAGAATTTTCAGTTCAGTTTGATGAACCAGTGAGGTTGTTGGGGTTCATTATAGGGGTGTGGGTGTCCATTCACGGAAGCTGTGTCCATCAAACTTCCTGAACAAGTTTCAGGCAGTGGATGGTGCTCAGAGAGTCTCCTCCGCAATTTAGCTGCTATCTGACCTTGGGGAGGGGCCTTGCCAGTCTTGTTACAGTGTTACAGGGTGGCTTCTTTGCTGCTCCTCTCCCCATCCCCACCACCCATGCTCCCACCACTATGCTCTTACCTCTCCATAAATAATCCCAGCAATGTCACTGGTGGCCCAGGTAAACTTTGGTGAAATTGTACTTTGGTCTGAGGCTAGGACCATATTGCGTGGTGTGCGTGTGTGCGCACACACACACACAGTAACATTGTTCACATCTCCACAGGGAAGGAATTCTCAACACAGTGCCCCTCCTATCTAGCCCTGCTCCTACCTTCTCAACCTGAAGCCCAACCTTGATATCCACCAAAATATGAAACTCAGAGCCTAGTCCTGGGAAGTTACCAACAGAGGCCAGCAGAGGGCATCCGACCTCCTGGAACGGGAGTTATAGGTGCTTGTGAGCAGCCATGTGGATCCTGGGAACTGAACTGGGGTCTTCTGAAAGAGCAGCAAATGCTCTTGCTGTCCCAGCCAGCTCTCCAGCCTGAATCAGAGGCCATCTCCGTTCTCAACGGTTACACTAGCCAGGTACCTCTCATAAGAGGTACTCACTGGAGGTCTTTTTGGCACTTACAGCCAGGGTGCCGGGGACCGGAACTCCCTGTGCTGGCTCCTGCTCTAGAGCCCTGGCTGGGGCTCCACAGGATAGGTCCCCACAGGGGATGTCTAGCAGCACTCAGCTGCCTCGGCTCTTCTTCTCTCCTTCCAGGACAGGTTCAGAACTTTCTGTGGAGCTTGACCTTCCTGGCCTCTCCCAACCCCAGTGTGAGGCATCCATCTCAGAGGGAGGCAGGCACAGTGGATGATGCACTCCACGTAGGGCTCCGTGTGTGCAGTTGTGAGTCTCACATACAGCAGGGATAACCTCATCACACACAGGTGTGTGTTCATGTCTTGTATCTATATGCTTTTTAAAGGTTTTGTTTTTAAGATTTTTGTTAAAAGATTTTTTTTTATTATTAGATTCTATTTTTAACTATGAGTATGTATATATGCCTATGTATGGGTATGTGCTGTTGGCTTTTACTGAAAATGTCCTGTGACTTTTTGGGCCCTGGGGTCAATCCAGCTCTCAGGATGGCGTTAGCATTCAGCAGCCTGCAGTGAGTGGGGAGTTCCCAGGTGGCACCAACTGCTTGGCTCACAGCTTCCTGCAATGCCTTCTCACTGCTGAGTTTCACAAGCAGCCCTTTTGCTGAGATGGTTCTGGAATGTCGAGGACCTGTAGACTCCCTCGATGAAGGAAAGTGAGGATGTTCCCCACTCTCTAACCTGATTCTCACTTCCAAATCTGACACTCTTCCTGTTTTCTTTTTATAAATAAAGTTTTATTGGCTTATAGCCATGCTCATCTGCTAACACATCCCCTATGGCTGTGTTTCATAATGCAAGGGCACAGGGCCAGAGCAGTTATCGTACTCTAGAGAGAAAGTATGGGACTCTGGGCTCAGACCTCTTCTCCACAGCCTCCTTCCTCAGTCCTGCTTCTCACTCGTGACGATGCAGGGAGCCATCAGATCACATTTCTGTGGTTTGCTTTTTGCTGCCCAAGCAGGGGCTTTTTGTCTTGGGCATAATGTCCATGCCCTAAAAAACAACTCTCCCTGCAAAAAAAAACCCCTTGTGCTGAATATTTCTTTTGTCAGAATGGAGGCGACTTTCTGGCGAGATCAGCACGTGCTGCGTCCGAGTTTTATGGATGGTGCCTGCTGTTTTTATGGATGGATATTTCAAAAATGCCATTGTGATGGCGTCTTGGAAGCTGTGATATGGCCTTCCTGTAACCTGTGGTTCTTCTCTAAAAGAGAAGGAACCACTCGGGGCCACACAGCACAGACACTTCATGGGAGAGGCGTGGCTCACTGGCCATTTCACCTGAGATGATGTTCCCACAGCGGCCCTGGGCTACTTGGAACCAGAGGCCAGTCTGTTCGTCAGCTGGCCATGCTGCAATTACTGTCTTATGAAAAATTAACAGCACATGGTTACTTCAGTTAATGAGATGTCTTAGGCAAGGAGCCTGGGTCTATGTGCTGCCTGGGGAGGAGGGTAGCCATTGCCTTACCTGTTACCCTAGGTCTGGGCATGTCTCCTGGGAGTGGCAGCCAGTCCTATAACCTACCACTCACTGAGCTATGGTTGCCAGGCTCTAGGAACACAGTAGTGGACAGGGAAGAGATCTGGGTACCTGCACAACAGGCAGCCTAGCAGGGCAGTCACAGCCCTGATAACCATGTGTACATTTGCTTGGTCTGTGAACCAGCCAGGTGGGAGACCCAGCCAATAGGAGAGACCAGCTCCTCCCAGGGCAATTATTTCTAATAACATGTCGTAAAGAAGTTATCAAGTGTTGTCCTTGCAAATAGTGCATCTTTGCTATGGCTCCGCGGAGACTGGGGTGGCTCCACAGAGAGGGAGATGGTGGGCAACCTCAATGGTGAGCATCAGCAAGCTGCTTGGTGCGGTGATTTCCCTGCAGGCTTTACGTCAGGCAGGGAAAGAACGATCCATGAAGAGACAAGACTGAAACTCGGCTCAGCCTGATTTTATTGTAACCAGTGCTGGACCAAGACTTCTAGGGTCTGGCCCAGATCGTTTTACCTTAGCCGTATTCAAGCACAGCACCCTTTTTGAAGAAAGTATTTAGACAACAATTAACTCAGTCCCAAGTATGCAACAATTTATGACATGTTTGCTTTGAGATTCTTTACAAAGTCCATCTGGCTTCTTAAAAATGGGTACTGTTGACTCAGAGATAGTGCCCAAGATTTAGGGTCTAGGAAGTTTCACTCAGGTAAACATAATACCGGTGGGTATCTGGATTGGCCTGACTCTAAGATAACGCAGAAGTCACTTAGGCTGTTGTAATGCACAATCATAAGATTAGGTTTTATGGTCTAAAAACAATATTGTCACTCTCAAGATTGAGGGAAGAAAGTCTTGATAAGTAAAAACATAAATTCTGGGAGACAAGGCAGAGCCTGTCTCCTCCGACAGCAAAGGATCACCAGGCTGTGAAAAGGACATCAATCCTAGCGGTCCAGGAAGAGCAGTTACGCACCTCATTCCATTGAAGAGGCAAGCTGCATGTTAAACTTCCCTTGCTTCTGCTGTGCACAAGACTCTTTGCTCCCTACAGGTTGGCTCACCTGGGGTGGCAAAGCCACAGGTCAGCTGTGGAGGGAACTTCAATAGTATATGCTTGAATCAGGATCTGGATGGGCGACTCGTACCCTGGGGAGGAGATGAGAGAGGAAGCTGCTGACCAGACATGACTTCCTTGGGCAGATCCCCCATGATCTAGATCAGAGGTCATAGGTCAATCCTCTTCACTTTCCTGGCACTGAGGTCAAGGGCTCGGGAGTTCTGCTGGGCATTGCCTTCTGGTGTTGGGAATGGAGAATGCAGAGAGTGATTTAGGGGTGGAAGAATGGTTGAGGAAGTCACAGTTGGCGTCTTAGAAGCCAGTGTGGTCCTTGTCACTCTCAAGAACCCGGCACGACACATGCCCACTGTGGGGTGGACATCTTTGGGTCCTAGAACCTCCTTGGTTGCAGGCTCAATTTGGGATCAAGCCTTTGGGTTTGGTTTCTTCCTGTCTCCTCTGTTGTGTGACACATTTGGGAGGGGGTCCTTAAGCTGACGGCATTGCCCTCAGGTCCAATGTCAGTCACTCCCTGGGAGTGGTTTTATTTTTATCTATCTATCTATCTATCTATCTATCTATCTATCTATCTATCTATCTATCTATCTATCTATCTATTTATTGGCTTTAGGTGCGCTAATGTGAGGGTAGCAGTAAGGGACTTTTAGCAGGAGGGTTCTGAGACAGGTGTATGCCTGATACTTAACTGAACTCAGATCCAACAGGGGTCCCCTGACCCTCTACCCCAGGCTGCCTTTGTGGTTTAGGGTTTGGAGACAAGGCTTTATGCTTTGCCGGCGATCCTACCCTCAGACCGCAAATGCCATTATTCTGAGCGTTTGTCACTAGGTGTTCTGAGGAGGCTGACTGACCCACGGGTGGAGCATCTCAGGGGGCCCAGTACATGCTTGGCTTCACGTTCTCAGTTGCAGCTGCCATGCAATCAGGTTGAGTGACGCAGAGTGCGGGGCGGGCCACTCAGGCTGCGCCTAGCCCCGAGATGCGGGGCAGGGCTGCCGTCCTGCGCAGTTGCGCAGAGTGACGCTGGGGTGCGCGGCCTCTGAGCAGGTATCCGGTGCTGGTGAAGGGGCACTGACCCAGCATCTGGAGAGGAAATGCGGGTTTAGTCGGGGGAAGGGAGTGCTGGTTGCAGGGGGTCAGGCGGAAGGCAGAGGGTGCTCCTCGGCATCGGGAGGGAGTGCGAGGTGCGGAGTGTGCGGGTTGCTGTGTCCTCTGAGTGTGACTGAAGAAAGTGCAAAGATTGAATCTTGGACCTTGGTGCGGGCATGGACTGGAGTGCGGTCGGCTCTCTGATGCAGAGATTTCTTCTTGGGTGGGGGAAGGTTGTGCCCTGGGATAGGGGCATAAGTTGCGGGTTGAGGGGCTGCAGGGTTTGCACGGGCTCTGAAGCTAGTACACTGTGCAGACTCAATGTCAGCTGGTGTAATCTGTGCCCACATCATGGTACAGCTCTCGGCTCATGCTCTGGACCCTCACAGGGGACTGGAGATTAGCTCCTGTGCCCTTTCCTGTGTCTAGTTGTTTATCCTAACCGAAGTGCTTCCCGGGTTAGTATGCCCGAGGATGCCTGGGGAGCAAGCAGAGAACTAGCGGGAAGCCTGAATGCCATAGCATTCACACTGAGTAAGGTAGGGAAGGTGTCATATGTCCCAGTCACCGGCCAGGGCCCACAAGTTCCTCCCCGCACCACGCAATAAAGTCTCTTATGTTTTCTGATACATCTGTGCTCTGGGATGGGTGGGATGTCCAGATACACCCTGGGTCCAGAGGTCCTGAGCTCAAATGCCAGTTTGGAAGATGTTCCCAGAGTCTGATTGCATTTGGCTAAACATCCATTCCTAATGAGGGTTATCTCAGCACGAGCTGTACTCCATTGCTGTGGGGCTGTAGGGGAGGGTGTGCCACTGCCACCCCCCCAAACACTTCTGAGTCCTTTTCTGTCTCTACTAGTGACAAAATGAGGTGGGGTGGGGAGAGGATGGCAGATCAAGGGGCCAGAGCATCTGCTTGAAGCAACTGTAGCCACAGTTCAGCCCTAAGAGCCCTGGGGAAGGAGTGCTGACCAGCAACTGGGCAGAGAAACAGCTTGGGGACCTGGTGTTGGAGAAGAGATGTTCGGCGCAGGGAGAGGCTGAGGTGTGGGTTGGTTTTTGCCCCTTGGCAACCCTTCTTCTATGCCTGCTGGAGCAGTGGAATGAGGGGTGATTATCATCACAGAACAACATTAGGGGAGTTAGGGGATACATTTCAGGAAGCCCACAGGACTAAATACTTTTTTTTTTCCTTTTGAGACAGGGTTTCTCTGTGTAGTCCTGGCTGTCCTGGAACTAGATTTGCAGACCAGGCTGGCCTTGAACTCAGAGACTGACTTGCCTCTGCCTTCCAAGTGCTGGGATTAAAGGTGTGCACCACCACGGATTTCCCTGAGAAAAACTGGCAGCTTTTTGTAGCCTCAGCCAAGCAGAGCCAGGGAGGAAGGGTTTGCATCAACAGGATGGCTGTCTTGAACAGCTGACTTCTCAGGATGTAGCAGTATGGTACTTCCCAAAACCTATTTTGTGGGCAGCAAAGGCTTTTGTTTTCCTTTTGGAAAATGAAAGAAGCCAACTGAGTTCTGTAATCATGAGATGAAGCCACAGGGCACACACCAGGGCGTGTGGTGGCCACAGGAGGTCGTCTCCCTCTTCTGGTCTGGGCGCTCATTCGGGGAGCTGGTGAATGGCCGAGCTATGGAGACACCTGAGATTGCAGCCATTAGGATTGGACTCCGAGGGCCCTCATCTGCGTATGTGTTTGTAGACTGCCCAAGGCGCTAGAACTCTGGAAGCGTGGAGAGATGTCCAGCCCGACAGGGGGAAATAGATGAAGACCACAGAGGAAAGAGGTGGGTGTTCCTCTAAGAACTACAGCCTGACCTTCCTCTTTCGGATGCATTTCAATACCTCTCTCTCACCCCCAGCCTCGTAAATGAGAAAAGACTTCCCTGAAGACATCTAGAAATCTCTCTCTGGGGGTGAATCTAGAACTGTGAACGATGGAGTCCTTAGACCGGAGAAGACCGGGTGCTGAGCAAGAGGAGGGCTTTGGGATGGAGGCCAGGAGGGCCACCGATCTGGGCATGGTCCCCAATCTCCGGCGAAGCAATAGCAGCCTTTCCAAGAGCAGGAGGCTTCTGTGCCCCTTCCTTGAGAAGGTAGGCTTCCATGGGCTGATTTGTTACATCATGGGCCACAGAAGCAGCCCAGCGGTCACCGTTGGTCAGGTTACCCTGGGCTAGCCAAGGCAGTCATTGACCATAAGGTAGGCTCATTTCTTACCTGGGTCTACCCACCTCAGGGCCTCCAACCCAGAAATGCCCTTTGGGAGAGGAGAGCCAGGGATGCGATACGACACCAGCCAGATTGCTTACTGAATATTGCCCAGCTACAGCCGTGTCCCCTTCTCCACTGCTTGAGAAATGGCCAGGCAGACACTGAGGCCCCGTGCCAGATAACGGAAGAAACCCTCACTTCTCTTTCTCAATTGTGCAATAACTCTAGTTCCTGTCTTTCTGCGGAGTCCAGGGGCATCACATCAGGCCCCAGGCCAGTGTCACCAAAAACCCTTGAGTAATCATGTTGAAAGTGCATTTGAGTTTGTGCTCAGGCAGGCGGGAGGGTGGCTTCAAAGCCAGGTACCGGGTACCAGCCAGGTTTTCACCCCAGATTTTCTATTCATATTATACAATTCCCAAGGGAAGCAAGCTGTAAAGTGCTGAGCACAAAGTATCCCCAAAAGAAAATGATTGCATAGTCTCATCCCTGTCTTCTGAGTACACACCCAGAACTCAAGCAAGGGTGCTTTTAAGTTTTGAGGTGGCTTCGGGTCCCTCAATGGAAGCTGGTCAGGGGACAGAGAGGTGTCTAAGGGAGGCCTGGGGACTTTATAATGTCAACATGTTCTTTTTGACTCCCAGCAAGAAAACCTCAGCTCATGGATTCCTGAAAACATCAAGAAGAAGGAATGTGTGTATTTCGTGGAAAGTTCCAAGCTCTCCGATGCGGGGTAAGTGGCATGGCTTTGATGAAGGTCTCTGAGCCATCTCTCCTGGTACGGTGAACATGGCTGATCAGACCCGCTTATGCGGCCTCAACCAGGGCCAGCAAAGGGGCATCTGGGATTCATGCCAGACTGAGAATCTCCCCATCCCATCTCAGGAGACACTTGGGGAACATGCCCAGTCCATCTCCTTCACATCCCTAAGAATTCTTTGGGGGCCTGGGATGTGCTTTGCAAATAGGTTGGCCTATAGCCGAGGGTGACCTGTACAGAGTCTCGCTGTGGCTGTGCATTCAGATCAAGCCCAGCAGGCCAGGGCTCCATGACATGTCTGTGGAGCTTCTTGGTTTCCAAAGAGTCAGGGATCCAGGAACTGTAGGGACCTAGGGGCAGTCCACAGACCAAATGTCCTTAAAAGCAGCGTCAGAGGGTTCTGCTGCTGCAGGGTCTCTGGGTCACCTTCTCTCCCGTCACTTAGCCCACAGGGAGACTATGGTCTCTGAGACCAGGATGGAGGTGTTAGCGGTCGCTCCAGGTAGCTGGATATTGTTGTTCTCCAGGTGGGACCGCCTGCAGGTGGGGCCAGTCAGAGGGACTGCAGCACTCTTAGATACTGCTCTCTGAGGCGGGGGTCCCTGAGACGGAACTGGGTGATGATCTATGTTGTAGCCCCCTTCAACCACCTACTCTTTTCCTTTTCTCGTGGAGACCTCCTCCTCACTCCTCAAGGCCAATGGCAGGTACCACCTCTGCAGTGTAGTCTCCCTGGATTCCACACCTGGGTCACCCCCACTGTAGCTTATAGCTTCACACCAGGAACGCTACTGTACCCAGGAAGCAATCAGTTTCCAGCAAAGTTCCCTGAAAAATAACAGAGCAAAACCATGTCTGTCCTAAAAACCACACAGACTTCTTTTCAGTCGTTCTGAAAGTGATGTGATGTCTCCTGGGGCTCCACACTGCAAAACAGGAGCATGACTATGTATTCCATGCAAATGCTATGACTCATGAGAGGGATTTGAGTGTCCTGGGATTTCTGTATCTGCGGAGCCTAGAATCCATTATCTATGGACACTGAGGGACCAACACAGAAAGGGACCAGGGGCTCCATGTGGAAAGAACAGCCCTCTTTACACCCCAGGGGTAAAGGCACAGGGCACAGCTCCGTGTGCCTCCCACATACTGGCTTTGCTCAGAAGCTGGGTACTTAGCTTCCCTCCCTGAGGCTAAGTGGGTCTTAGAGAGAAAGTAAACGCCGCCTCAGTCAATGCGGTCTATGTGAGTTTGGGGGTCCCCAAGGCCATCCCACATGCTCATTGAGAGTTGAGAGCTCTACATGGTGGTTCTTAAAGTGGAGGGTCGTGGCTGTGATAGGTAGTACCTTCTCCAGTTGCCTGTGCTGGGCCTCTGCCCTAGAAGTGAGAGAGACCCTGTCTTATCTGCTGTCTATTTCCATGAAGAGACATCATGACCAAGGCAATTTATTTTATAAAAGCAGTTAATTGGGGCTTGTTTGCAGTTTCAGAGGGTAAGTGTGTGATCATCATGTTGGGGAGCATGGCAGCAGGTGGCAGACATGGTGCTAGAGCAGTAGCTGAGAGCTTCCATGTTTAGACAACAACCGTGAGGGGGGGGGGAAGAGAGAGAGAGAGAGAGAGAGAGAGAGAGAGAGAGAGAATGAGAATGGAAAAGTGTGGGATTCTTAATCCTTCCTGAATAGTTCCACCATCTGGGAACCAAGGATTCAAATATATGAGCCCATGGGGCCATTCTCATTCAAACCACCACAGAGTCTGTATGTACTGCCAATCCCGTGGCCACCTAGTTGCAAACCAGAAGCAACACCAATGTTCAGCAAGTATCATAGCAGTAGGATAGACCTGGTCAGTAGGAGTCCTGTTCTCAGCCCATGTTTGGATACGACCTTTGCCTCAGCCATATCTCATCTTCTGAAGGACTCAGTATGTGATGCTTGCCTCTTTTCTTTCATTCTGGGCTTCTATGGTATGTATTTGACTTCTAATCTGGAAATGATTACAGATTTAAAGGAAAGATGTGCCAGCCCCCTTGTCCCAATAGCTCTCTTCCGTATAATGGTGCTGTGTCAAAACCGAGAGCTCAGCCTTGGTCAGAGGGCGCCCCGTGTCCTCTCATCTCAGGTGTAACACATATAACCACGCACCCAGAATGCACACAGCTCGGCTCCCACAGAGATGGTCCTATGTAGTTACCCCCGACCCATTCTCACCTTCTAGTAACCAGTACTCCAATCTTCATATACATTTCCATTTGTCAGTTGGAGAAAGTCATAGGAATGGAGTCATACACCTCCAGGTCTGTGTCACTACATACACATGGCACCACACAGTGGGGGCCTGTGCCCTTTGACACGTAGACTTTGAGCGCCATTCATGTTTCCACACCAACTCTTTCACTGTTGAGCAATTCTCTAATTGTATATACTTGAGGTGTGACTTTGTAGATAATAACCAGGTCCTGATTTTTGCTTGTTTGTTTTGTTCTTTAATCCCATCTGTCTGTCTGTCTTTCTCTGTAGACCAGACTGGCCTACAGATCTATCTGCCTGCCTTAGCCTTCCAAGTGATGGTGCCTGTTGTAGTCTCTGTTTTTCAATGGGTGATGTGGGATTCCCCGCTGTGTGCTGTGATTACCATTAATGAATAAGGAAACTGCTTTAGACCTACAGCAGGAGGGCAGAATTTAGCTAGGCAGGGAAAACTAAGCTGAATGCTGGCAGAAAGAAGGATGGAGTCAGAGAGAAGCAATGGAGTTGCCTCCAGAGTCAGACTGCCGAAACTTTGCCAGTAAGACACTGCCACGTGGTGATACTCAGGTCAATAGAAATGGGTTAAATTAATATGTAAGAGTTAGCCAATAAAAAGTTAGAGCTAATGGGCCAAGCAGTGATTTAATTAATACAGTTTCTGTGTGGTTGTTTCGGGGCTGAGCAGCCGGGAACCAAAAAGTGACCTCCTCCAATAAATGGGTATATATAGACCACTTACACTCAATATAATTATTGCTGCTGAGAGCTTAAACCCACCATTTTATTTTTTTCTCTTTTCTTTCTGTTTCGGTTCAGCTTCTTTGTGATAGCTGTGGTTATTGAAGTTACATAACAAAATGTGTTACAATCCGCAAGTGTTGGTAGGCTGAGAGTTACAGGAGTGTGTAGAAACACCTCCTTTTACTCCTCACTTACAATTGTCTAGAATACCATGTTTGACCCAGTTCAGCAATCAAACATCATTTTAAAACTCAAGAGAAATAAAATGTATTTACTCACATTTTCACTCTTTCTATTGTTCCGTCTTCCTCCCCAATGCTCAGAATGTCTTTGTCCTTTCACTTCTGTTTAGATAACTTCCTTTAAAAGTTGTTTTTAAAAAGAGGGTTTCATGTAGCCCAAGTTGGCCTTGAACTCCCTATGTAGCTGAAGGTGACCTTGAACTTGAACTAATCTTCTTGCCTCTAGCTCTACCTCCTGAATACTTGGATTGCAGGGGTCCCTTTCAGCATGCTAGGAAGCCCCTGCCAACTGAGCTACACCCCCACCCCCTTTAGCCATTCTTTGGACTTATTCTACTGTTGACAAATCTCCTTTATGGAGTTTAGCTAAGAGCGTTCCTTGACTTCTTCATCCCCAATGGGAAGTTTTGCTGGCTATAGAATTCTGGGTTGTAGTTTTTTAATCTTTCAGCACTGAACTTCTTCTTTTATGGCTTCCATGGCTTCTGATAAAAAGCATGTTGTTCTTAACCTGGGTGTGGTGGCACATGCCTTGAACCCCAGCACTTGGGAGGCAGAGGCAGGCAGATCTCTGTGAGGCTGGAGAGACGGCTCAGCAGTGAAGAGCACTAGCTGCTCTTTCAAAGGACCAGGGTTCAATTCCCAGGACCCACATAGGAGCTCATCTCTGTTTCTATCTCCAGTTCCAGGGAATCTGAGGCCTTCTTCTGGCCTATTTGAGCACCAGGCACACAGGCAGGCAAAATACTCATATGGATTAGAACAACAACAGCAAAAACAAGAAGCGTGTCGGGGAGAGAAATCGGCAGGCGCCATTGCGGCCTTACTACTGTCCAGCTTTTCTTCTCCTTTGGTTTTGGAAGTTTGATGATGTCATCACTTAGCCCGTGTTGCTCTGGGTTCACACTGCTTGACGCTCACTCAGATGTTTGGACCTGTAGGTTTATGTGATTGTTTGTTTATTTTGAAAGCACACACGGGAAGCTGTGAGAACCCGTGTTAAAAAAAAAAACCGTGAACTTCCTCTGAACTGTGGGTGGGGCAGCATGCAGAATGTTCTCCCCACAAGGTGGCCTTCTAGAAAGAATTGCGCGAACCATGATCAGTGAATGCGCTTGGAAACGAGGATGTGCAGGGAATCCCCGTGGCACGTCCACATTATCTCTGTGGGAAAGGCAAAGGCCTGGAAGGAATATTCTTGGTTCTCATCATATAACCAGAGATGAACAGACATAACACCAGGCATATCGCCTCGCTGTACCTGTATTTCCTTAAGCTAATTGTGAACATCACCTCATGGTTTACTGGCTTTAGTAACAGAAATGAGAAGGACTTTGTCTGTACCGCTCTTGAACTCGAATGCCCTGAGCCCTTGGTTGCTCCATGCAGATCTTTGGCGTTTTGATCCACAGAGACATAACCTGGTTGGCTGAGGCTGGGTCAACAGAAAAGTTAGGACATTTTTTTTTAAATTATTTATTTATTATGTATACAATATTCTTTCTGCGTGTATGCCTGCAGCCCAGAAGAGGGCACCAGATCTCACTACAGATGGCGGTGAGCTACCATGTGGTTGCTGGGAATTGAACTCAGGACCTTTGGAAGAGCAGGCAAAGCTCTTAACCTCTGAGCCATCTCTCCAGCCCAGGACATTATTTCTTCACGTGGCTTTGTAGGCTTGCTTGACTTTTCTTTCTCTCCGGGGACTCTGCCTGCTGGTCCCCATGGTTCTGTGTCGCTGTGATTCTATTTTGGCTTATTTTCTCCCTCTTGGTCATTACCCTTTTGCAGCGCCGAGATTTCCAGTTGCTGTACTCTCTGTCTCTCTAGAAGCTGCACTTTGAGTTCAGGGTATTTTTAGTCGCTCGTCGGAGCATTTTTAACCTGGTTGCTGCAAAGTCCTCCCCAGATGACTCCCGCACCTGGCCCATCCTGGTGAGAGTGTCTGGCGTGACTGACTTGCTTGGTGTGACTAATGATTTTTCTGGCTTCTGTATTTTAGCTGGCTCTGACCCTGTCTGAAGGAGGGAGGGGCAGCATCTCGTTATTGCCACATGGGAAAAGTTCAAAGGCCAAGGCCACTCACTGGCTGTCCTTGTTTGGTTCCTGGCTGATGCCACCTGCCTGGGGTGGAGGGGCAAGAATGCCTCATACTCACTGCCCACATGGTCCTCTTGACACTCAGGCAGTGTGTCTTGTCCCTGCTGAGTGGGATGAGTGTCCTGGCTCTCCTCTGGGTCCCCTGATGTCACTGTAGAGAGCGGCAGAGGTGTTTCATTCCCGTGATCACCTTGGTGTCTTCACAGGAAGGTAGTGTGTGAATGTGGTTACACCCATGAGCAGCACTTGGAGACCGCCATCAAGCCTCACACCTTTCAGGGCAAGGAATGGGACCCCAAGAAGCATGTCCACGAGATGCCTACAGATGCCTTTGGCGACATCGTCTTCACAGGCCTGAGCCAGAAAGCGGGGAAGGTGGGTTCCATTATAGTCATTCTTCACCACGTTGGTCCCTGTGACCCTGTAGCAGATTTCCTGGAGGGAGGGGGGAGAATGAGAGTAGGCATCTCGGTGTGTGGAACCCACTATCCACCGAGGAACGGCATGGGGTGGTGTGCACTCTTCAGGCAAACGAGAGGCCTGTAAGCAGAAGGAGGAGCCCTAAGGGAGGTATGGGCTCATTGTCCATCTGGGTCTAGGAGAAGGAGAAGAACAACTCAGGACCTAGCACAGACGTGGTTGGCTTCTGAATGGTGGCGAGGGAAGGGAGAGGGAGGGTGAAGCCCCATGTGGGAAGCGGAGGCAGGAGTCCCTGCAGATGGCTGTACCCTGGGCAGGAGGTGACACAGGTGCAGGAGGATATCCTGTCATCTGATCTCAGGTCAGGAAGAGTGGGGTGGAGAGGTCTCATCTCTCGCTCAAAGGTGTGATAGGCAGAGCCACAGTGGGTTTGAAACCAGCTGATCCCCAGTCCAGGTTCCTAACCTGACAGCCTCCTGGCTCCAGCTGCTTCTCCAAGGGCAGTGACAGGGAGAGTCCCGAGCCAGGGACAGTTAGTGGTGGGGGTTCTTACACTTGTTAAGGAGAATAATAAGGTATGTCCTGACTGCAGTGAATCCCTCCCTGGGTGTGTGTGTGTGTGTGTGTGTGTGTGTCCCCACCACTACTTTCTTGTCCCATGACAAAGGCAGTTTCTGGAGGAAGGATTGATTCCGGCTTACGGTGTGAAGAGATGCAGTCCATTATAGTGGAGTTCCAGGTGCTTGAAGCCGTGGGGTGGGGGTTGCTGGTTGCATCTTGGTGAACCAAGAGACACAGAGAGAGAGAGAGAGAGAGAGAGATGAGAGATGAGGAGGAAAGCCGGGCTGTCTTCACCAAATCTTGCTCCCCAGTGACTAGCAATCCACTTCCCCCAGACAGATGCCACGTCCTAAAGGTTCCACAGCATCTCCTCCCTCCAACTAAAGATTAGATGTGCAAATACATGCGCCTGTGGGGGAACATTTCATATTTAAACTACAGCACCCACAATGTGGATCCTTAGCCCCTTTCCTTCCGGACATCATGTGGTTTACAGTCCAAAGGGAAAGGCCATGAGAGGATGGTCCTGGACACCGGCTCAGCCTTGTGAGAACAAACGCAGTGAGGGCTGGCAGGAAGCAGCCACTGTGGTATCAATTAGATTCTTTGTTGTTATGCTGTGATCTGCCTGCTCTGGAGGTTTCTAATGTCCCTTTGGATTTCACATTGTCCATCATCCTGCCCATTATGGGTCCCTCAGGTGGATCCTAGTCAAACTGAATCTCCTTAGACAGTTGATTTAGCTAGAGTGGAAAAGTCCACGGTGGGATGTGGGCAGCAGTGCTTGTCTGGCATACATGGGTCTCTGGATTCCATCCCCAGAGCATGCACACACACGCACATGCGCACACACGCATGCACTCATGCACACACATATGCATGCACACACAAAAACATGCATACATATGTGTACATGCACACACACACATATACATGCCTGCACACATGCAAGCACACACATGCGTGCACATATACACATGCATGCGTGCACACACACAAATACACATACTCATGGATACAAGCAAATACATATGCACACAGGCACACAGGCACACAGAAATACATGCATGCACACACACATATACAAGTGCACGCATGCAAACACACAAAATCCATCATGAGCTTAGGGTGTTCTGGAGTGTGAAGCCAGGGGGCTGCCACCTTCCATCCCCCCACCCTACCCAGGGGCAGACAATGTGTACACAGAGCAGGGCCAAACCCAGAAAAGTCAGTAGCAGGTCAGGGGCTAGCAGAGGGCAGCCAACACCGGGAGTGTGAGGAGAACAGGAAGCAGATGGGGGAGAGGTCAAACCACATGGAGGAGCCAGTGCAGGGGGTAACAAAGGATGGTGTTTGTGGGGGGTGGTCTGAGGTGCTCCCTAAGCAAAGAGGATGAGGAAAGAGGAAGTATGGGAGAGGGAGCTGGAGCTAGGGGTTTTGTAAAGAATCTTCTAGATTTACCTAGGGAGCCTCTGTACTTGGGCCTCAGCTCCTCTTTCTTCTTACAACCTATGTCTTGACTATACACTGCTGGCTACTTTTCTTCTTGGGTGTGAACTCAAGGTGTCCAGCCCCAGGCTGAGCAGGCAGGGCACAGGTGACCTCAGTCTGTGTTGAGTGTGAAGGCTGAAGCCATTCTCTCAGGGTTCCTTCACTGTCTCCTGGCGGGTGACCTCACTATCCCCTGTGCAGTGTCCTTGTGCCTTGTAAGGTTCCCTTGCTGTGTCTCCTGCAAGGTGTTCTCACCAGCCCATGATTCCCCTGCAGTATGTCCGGGTCTCCCAGGACACGCCCTCCAGTGTCATCTACCAACTCATGACCCAGCACTGGGGCCTGGATGTCCCTAACCTCCTCATCTCGGTGACTGGTGGAGCCAAGAACTTTAACATGAAGCTGAGACTGAAGAGCATCTTCCGGAGAGGCCTGGTCAAGGTGGCCCAAACCACAGGTGAGTGCTGAGGCCCCGCCCAGGCCATGAGTATAGCTCAGGATGAAGGATAGCTTTGGGGATCAATGTTATGGGTACTGGAAACTCTTGGGGATAGCTGAGTTTACATCCAGGCCTGGATCAGATTCCTTGGGTCCCTCATCTACAGGCAGCCCTTCCCTTGATGCTCAGCTGCCTCTCAGCTCACACTACTCATTTCCCTGACATTTATAGTCGCATGGCCACTGCCGTGTGCTAATGGGCTAAGTTAAAAAAAAAAAAAGATTTCATTTTACTTAATGCCTGTGTATCTGCGTGTGTGTGTGTGTGTGTGTGTGTGTGTGTGTGTGTGTGTGTGTGAATGTTACCTGTGCTCAGATGCCTGTGGAAGACTGACGATGACATTGGATCCCCTGGAGCTGGAGTTAGTTACTGGTGGTTGTGAGCCTCCTGACATGGGTTCTAGGATCAGAACTTAGGTTCTCTGAAACAGCAGCCAGTACTCATAAGTACTACTGTCTCTCCAGACCCTAGATTTTATTTTATTTTAATGTCCACATCACACGAGTCTTTGAGGCACTCATTTCAAAGGTCTGGCCAGCAGTGTGCAGTGAGCTCACCACCCAAGCAACAGCAGATGGATCTTGGCTCATGAAGCAGCAATGAGAGCTCTGCCCACATGCCCTCTCTTTAGGGCTCAGGCAGGACCAGCAGATCCCACTTGTCACTTGCTGCTCTATAGGTAGAACCAATTCACTCAGCCCTGACATTCTTACCCTGGCCAGCATGCAATACACCCCTGAGGGTAGGGGAGACAGTGACAGTAGGTGTATCTCCTGTAGGGGCCACCGTAAGCCACGTGGCTTTAGGCATATAGTCATCTGTTAGGAGTAGGGCCAAGGAATGGGGAGCGTGGACATTATCTACCATTCTCAGGTCTCAGATACTGAGAGGAAGGTGGAAAGCAACAGGTCCTTCAGATCCTGTGTGCTCCTCAGCCTGGGACAGAGAGAAGGCAGAGGGGCATGAGAGGCCTGCAGAGAGATTGGGGGGTCTTTCCTACTGTCATCTTTGCAATGTGGGGAGCTCAGGTCTCAGAAAGGCATCAGGAAGATAGTGTCACAATACAGTATCTCCCCCTTAATCCTGCTTTAGAGACATATCTGCCAGTGTACTTGATGAGGTCCCATGTCAGGAGCACAGTGGGACTCTGGGTGTCACTACTGGCTTGACAAGAGGCATATTGGAGCCTAGAGGCATGGCCCGTCTCTTTCCCCAGGGGCCTGGATCATCACTGGAGGGTCCCACACGGGTGTGATGAAGCAGGTGGGTGAGGCGGTCCGGGACTTCAGCCTGAGCAGCAGTTGTAAAGAAGGAGACGTCATCACCATTGGCGTAGCCACATGGGGCACCATCCACAACCGAGAGGGGCTGGTCCACCCCACGGTGAGTAGCCAGTTCAGAGTGAGCCTGGGTCAGAGGAGGAAGGCTGGGAGCAGAGGGAGAGGAGCCCAACTCTTTACAAAGACTGCAGGGAGCTTGTTGGGTGTCAGTGTAAGTGTCGGGGAAGGACGTGGTGCTGCAGGGCACGGGTCTGACTTAGGTAATGTAATACCTCGGACACAGTGAGCAGGGTGGGTGGCTAACATGGACATCCATAAGATCACAGGAGGGATCCACATGCTGGTTATTACCAGGTCGAGGTACATCTCAAGAGTCACGTGGATAAGCAATGGGCTTCAAGGAAAGGGAGTGACCGACTAGGACCACACAGTCAAGCAAGAATGGGAGTTAGATTGAGCCAGCTTTCTGACCACAAAGTTTGAGCTTTTAGCTTTGAGCCTCTATGCTCAGAGGCCTCCAGCCTAGAATTCCACAGAGCTGTGGTTTCTGGCAGTCAGCAGCAAGTTGGGCTACCCTTTAATGCTATACCCAGAGCTTGGCTCAGCAGCTACTGAAGAATGGAGACTTGAGTTGGATAACTTGGTTTACTAAGGGGGATTTTTCTAAAGACATTTGACTCTGTACTATTGAGGACACAGACATTTCATTCACCATCAAGGAAATCTGGGGACAACATAGTCTGTGGCTAGAGAAGGTTCCTGTCACTGCTGATGAGTGTGCCTGGCCCAGGGTGCAGTCTTGATCTTTCTTTTGTGTCAGAATCATGGAGTGTCTCCCTGGGCAGGATGGGCCAACTGTTCTGTTTTGCACATCCATTTTATGGTGTAAGACTGGGTCTAAGGGAGGCTGGGGGAGTTCTGAGTTGAGAACCTTCTGGTTGTTCCACTGTTCCATTCTCTGTGGACAGTAGACAAGGTGTCCAGTCCAGCAGATTAGTCTCCTGGGGTCTTGTAAAGCATGATCAGACACCTGGTGGCAGAAAGCAATTCACTTATTCACCTACAGTTAGATGTCACTCTCCCACTGCACAGATACCACCACTCGGCCCCAGTGAAGATGAAGTTATACTATTCTGGGACTCTTATGCGGACCCTTCCTGTCCTTTTAACATCTGGTGATTCTGGAAGTTACAGATAATTCGGGTTGATTTTCTCCTGGTTAGATTCTTAACATCACAGCTGCAAAGGCCCTTTCTTCAAATAAGGGGCCACAAGCAGATTCTTGGTCTTAGGACTTGGTATCTTTAGGGGGACATTATCCAAGCTATTAGACCTCCCATTTCCAGAAATACGGGTATGACTTTTTACCAACCTGTGTGAGTCTCCCTTGGTCATCTGCAGGGAGGCTTCCCCGCTGAGTACATGCTGGATGAGGAAGGCCAAGGGAATCTGACCTGTCTAGACCCCAACCACTCCCACTTCATCCTGGTGGATGATGGGACCCATGGCCAGTATGGTGTGGAGATTCCGCTAAGGACGAAACTGGAGAAGTTCATATCAGAGCAAACAAAGGAAAGAGGAGGTACACATGAGCGTGCTTCTGGGGGCGTTTGGGGCAGAGAGAACTGAGACTTCCTGTATCAGAGCCATTGCTGGCTGCATTGTACGTGGAGGTGAGATCGCATCACACCCTCATTGGTTTCCTGGGTCCCTGTCTGCTTCTTCATGGGGCCCTTGGGGACCTGTCTTCTCTTGCGGCCTTAATCAGTGGAAATGTGTCAGTGTGGGCTTGTCTGTTTGCTGTCAGTTAATAGAACAGTTGACATTTTCAACTAGAGACAGTTTCAGGCTGGGAAATGAGAAGACGGCATCCAGAACCCATAGCTTGACCTCAGTTGCTTGTGGGGAGGTGGAGTACCTCGTGTGTGAGATGAGGAGAGAGCCCAGGGAGCATGGAGAGGGTTCCAGCTCAGCACCTGGGTTGTTTGGGATGACTCTGGGTAGCAGATTTCAAGCTTCCTAGGGTTTCCTGAGTCAGGGTCCCCAGTGGGGTCTGACCACCCCCACCCTAACATCACCTCCTCCAGGTCTGGGTGGCATAGAACTTGCATGTCCATTAAGTTCCCAAGTATATATGGTGCCTGTGTAGGCACCACACTGGGAGAGCACTGTTTTCACAGGAGAGCCCAGGGTGAGGTGTTTGAAGGCAAGGACCCTTGTTGGCTCTGGGGGGGCTTTGCTACCAGGGGAAGGGACTTCTAATATTACATCTGTTTCTCCTGCCCTCTGGGTGAGATTGAGTAGAAGGGGAGAAGAGACATGAACTATGCCCCACCCCAGCCAATGCCAGATGGGTCGGTGTCCTCATAGAGGTTCCTTGGGCCAGCTTGGATGTCGAGGTATCATAAAAAGAACAGCAGAGAGAGGCAGGGGGGCTAGAGTGGTCCTCTGGTAGAGAAGATGGTGTTTTGTTCCTTTCTGTACAGGAATTTAATTAGGATGGGGTAGGATATAGGTGGAAGGATGGGGTGTGTCGTTAGGTGCAAGGGTCGGGATGTGTAGTGGGTGCAAGGGCAGGCCAGGGATAGGGGTGGAGCAAATGGCCAGGAGGCCTTGGGTTTGCTCTTTTATGGTGCATGAGCAACTTGTCTGCAAGCCGTCATCATTCACCTTCAGCGGCTGCCCGTTAATCGGCCCAGCTGATGCTTCCCCCATGGGGATGGGGGGAAGAAAGCAGTCTCGCATAGTAGGCCTGTGCTTCCCCCAATATTCACATGGGTTCTATGTCTGCCTAGGTGTGGCCATCAAGATCCCCATCGTTTGTGTGGTGTTGGAGGGCGGCCCTGGCACGCTGCACGTGAGTACCAGCTGCTTTGCATCATGGGGCCTTGCTGGGGAGGGAGGACTGGTGGAGGCTTTTACTAAAATCTGGCACCATCACTCGCAACACACACCGCATGCTGCCCTGAGGATATGAAGGGGAGGGAATTCACCACAGGACAGGGATGTTTCCTGATGGGAGAAGGGACGCCTTACGGTTAGACCCTCATGTGGGAGAGGTGACTTGACATTAGCCCAGGTTGTGGTGTGGTTGCTGGCTCTTTCTTCCCAGAGCCTCTTCAGAAGGCGTTCACCCAGAGTCCCAAGCACTACTCTGAGTCCAGTCCAGTTCCTGGAGCTCAAATCTGGGGTTTTCCTCATGGTCCTGTTATTCCCCTGGGCTTTGGTATTCTGGGTCCACACAGCATCCCTGCGAATGCGTCTGGTCAATGACTGTGCCATGAAGCCTTTTGTTACCGTGCTATTGGGTGTTGAGTGACAAGCTTGAGTCAGGTGTGCCAGCGGCACGCTTCTGGTGCGGCAGCAGCAGCTCTTTTGTCTCTTGAACGGCGTAGTGCCCTAAACCAGTGACGGCTTCCAGAAAGTTCTAGCTTCATAGGCTCGCTCTAGCTGCAAGTGACTTGCAGCCTTCGCTGCCACTGAATGCTGCTGTATTTCAGAAGTGCCAGAGCTGGGTGAGGACTCTGGCCAGCTGACGCTTGGTTCCGCTTTTGCAGACCATCTACAATGCCATCACCAATGGCACACCCTGTGTGATAGTGGAGGGCTCCGGCCGAGTGGCTGACGTCATCGCCCAGGTGGCCGCTCTGCCCGTCTCTGAGATCACCATCTCCCTGATACAGCAGAAGCTCAGCATGTTCTTCCAGGAGATGTTTGAGACTTTCACCGAGAGCAGGATCGTGGAATGGACCAAAAAGGTAAGGCATATAGGCTCACCTGGCTGACTCCCAGACAGACCAGGACTCCAGGAACCTGTAATGGGTCAGAGTGGGTGCACGATTGAGTTTGCAGATGGTGGGAAGCTCTGAGACCCAGGACAGGCAGGGCCTCCTGGTTGGGCACTGGGAGGTTGAAGCATTTGGCAGACAGCGTGCCAAAGCAGAGCTGAGATTTGAACTCTATTTGCAGAACGCCAGGGCCAGGCTGGGACATCTCAGTACTTGAGAGCTGTTGTTCTGGGACCCAGAGCGTGTTGAACTGGAGGGGTGTGGTGCTTGGGGAGGGCCAGGAAGCACTGCAGAGCGCAGGAGGGGTCTTGACCAGGATGCTGACAGCAGAACTTAGCATCCACAGCAGTGAGTGACAGACAGCACATGGCCCAGCCTTGTCTCCCCATAAGAACACTAATGGAGTGCCCTCAGCAGTATTTTTGTTATATTTAGTGTGTGTGTGTGTGTGTGTGTGTGTGTGTGTGTGTGTGTTTATTCATGCTCACACTCTGGTGCCACAATGCATACATCATGGAGGACAGAGGACATTTTGTACCAGTCAGTTCTTTCTTCTACTGTTTAGGTCCTAGGAGACTGAAGTCAAGTCCTCACACTTGGTGTCAAGCGCCCTTACTAGCTGCCCCAGCACAGACTAGGGAGTGTGGTTCCTTGCTGGGGTCTCAATTCCTTTTGTCCTTCAAGGATACAGAATCCCTCAACCATAAATCTCACTAGCAACCATTTGCTGCAGATCCAAGACATTGTCCGGAGACGGCAGCTGCTGACAGTCTTCCGGGAAGGCAAGGATGGGCAGCAGGATGTGGATGTGGCCATTCTGCAGGCTTTGCTGAAAGGTGAGGCTATGAGCAGGGGAAAAAAAGGAGAGAAAGACCTGGACATGTGTGCTCATGATGAATGACAGCATCTCAATCAGAGGCGCCGGCCAGAGAGTGGCTGCCTGAGGCCATGCCACTGTATACCCCTGTCATCCAAGAAACAGCAAATTTCTTGTAGGCTGAACTCAAAGGAAGCCATGCCAATCTCATTACAGTCAAGCTTTCTGAAGACAATGTATCTTGAGAATAGCAAAGAGAGGTGGCTTATCCCATATAAGGGAGTCTCAGTAAGATAATGTACAGATTTCTAATTAGAGACTAGAAGGTGAAAGGCAGAGGACTGTAAAGTGGGGGAGAAATTAAGGTATTCTCAGATAAATTAAAGCATAGAGAATTTGTAATCACCAGACCTGAGTTACGAGAAATGCTCAAGGGTGTACTGAAAGAACACTAGACAGTGACTCAACACCCTATGAAGGAATAAAAATCTCAAACAGGCAAATGTATGGACAATTATGAATGCCTGTGTCATTGTAACAGGCTTATAATGGCAGTGTTAGCTTTCTTTGTTACATATGAGGTTAAGACAGTAACAATTACTACTCTAAACGCTACTATTCTAAGCTATGTTTCCCAGCTCATGCTTATAGTCCCAGTACTTCCGAGCCTGAAGCAGGAGATTCACTGCAAAGTTCAAGGCCAAACTGGTCTATATAATACATTCAAGATTAACGGGGGAGCCTGCAAGATAGTGTGCAAAACATCACTACAGCAAATACCACTTGCAAGAGGGACTCCAAGTAGAGAAAGAAGTGGAGCCATGGGTGCCAGGACTGGAGATGGGACTGGGGAGGGACAAGGGAAGGCTCCAGGAAGGGGCCGTGTGTGACACTATTCCTGGGAAGACACAGACAAACATTTACTCACTTTGGATAGAGAACTAACACCAGTCAAAGCAGCACTACCACCAAATTCTGCCTTGGTGAACCAGTGAGTCTACTGGGGTTACTTAGAGGAGCGTGTGTGAGGAGGTACTTACAGGCACCTGGATGACTCAGAGGGAGGAGCATCGTCACTGAAATCCCACCCGGCATGGGTGAGGACTCAGGAAAGATGCATTTCTGGAGCTCTCTGTACCACTTGCAGGAAGCTTCATGGGTGAGAGGGTCTCCTTGTCTCAGTCTTTCTCACTGCTTATTTAACCCCATGGAGTATTGGGCCGTGTAAATCTGGTGGGTTTCAGGGACTTCCTGAGTCTTGTTGAGTTTCCCTCTAGGAAGGGAGGTTTCAATTGAAGGAAACTGCTACACAACAGGGGGCTGGGGACCAGCCTGGGCATGATGTAGAGTCTTGGTGTGGTTTCAGTGTATTTTTCCTGGTGTATTTCCTGGGGCATAAGAAGTATTTCATGGCCTCTGTTGTCATTTTCTCTGCTCTGACCTTGGTGAAGTGTCTTTTGACCATACTAATCTGACTGACTTCCTGTTTCTGGCCTGTGAGTGTCCCTTGTTCATTCTGATGCCCTTTGTCAGACATGGGAATTGGGAAGTCTGCCCTGGGTTCATGGGTTGTGGCTACATTTTCTTGAGGTGGCTTTGAAGAACAAAGGGTTTACCTTTTGTGATTTGTCAACTTGCTCTTTGCAGTTGTGTTTTCTGTGTCCTGGCCAGAACTCTGCCTGTCCTAGGGTTACAGATACTCATCGATGTCACTTCACACACCTAGCCTGTCTCTTCAGCAGAACACCCCACTGCGTGGTGTGAAGGAGGGACCAAAGTTGGTTTTTCTCTTCTCTGAATGGAAACCATGTGCAGTTATGGGGACCCGGGTTCTGATCTTCACATAGACAGACAGACAGACAGACAGACAGACACACACACAGTGTGTTGGCTTTTGGAATTCCGCTTTGTATGTCAGTGTAAATGAATGCTTTTTAGAGCTCTGTATCTTGTTTTACTATGGCTTTTTTCCCCTGTCACAGAGGGGCAGGGCATGGCTGGGAGATGACTCAGGGTGAGGAATGGGGTGAACTACAGTGATGATCAAAACTCTGGTTCTCTGAGTCTAACAATGAATGAAACATGCTTTACAAAGCAGATGTCTCAGGGAGGGTGTCACCAATAAGCTCCGAGTTATCACTTTAAATCATTAAGGGAACTAGCGTTCCCCAACCAACTCCTGAGCCCCACGCCAAGCCTCACATAGAGGCACCTGACACACACTGCCACCCACAGCCTCTCGAAGCCAAGACCAGTCTGGCCACGAGAACTGGGACCACCAACTGAAGCTGGCAGTGGCGTGGAACCGTGTGGACATTGCTCGAAGTGAGATCTTTACGGATGAATGGCAGTGGAAGGTGAGGTGCCTGCGTCAGTGGGTTTGTGTGCATGGTGAGGCGCCTGCGTCAGTGGGTTCGTGTGCGTATCTTCAGGGTTCTAGCCCCGCTTTGGGAATGGGTGACCAGGGTGAATTCCATCCTTCAGAAAATATATCAGCCTCTCCTTCTAGGGTCCTGAGCTCAGAGTTCTAAGGGGTGCTGACTTAATGTGCTGGCCACTGAACATTGCTCCCTCTTAGCCCGCAGATCTGCACCCCATGATGACAGCTGCCCTCATCTCCAACAAACCTGAGTTTGTGAGGCTCTTTCTGGAGAACGGGGTGCGTCTGAAGGAGTTTGTCACTTGGGACACTCTGCTCTGCCTGTATGAGAACCTGGAGCCATCCTGCCTCTTTCACAGCAAGCTGCAGAAGGTGCTGGCTGAAGAGCACGAACGCGTGGCCTATGCCTCCGCTGCACCCCGACTGCACATGCACCACGTGGCCCAGGTGCTGCGTGAACTCCTGGGGGACTCCACACAGCTGCTGTACCCTCGGCCCCGATACAGCGACCGGCCGCGGCTCTCGCTGCCCATGGCACACATCAAACTCAATGTGAGTCCTGGTAATGTGGGTGCCAGGGATGGGGTTGCTGGTGTCGGGAGGCGGTGTCCATGATGGTTCCTTGGTGGGTGACTGCTGTGTTCTCAGCTGTGTTATGAGCTCTTACATTTATTAAAAAAGGAATTGCTAAATATGGGTGCGTGTGTGTGTGTGTGTGTGTGTGTGTGTGTGTGTGCGCGCGCATGCATGCATGCACCTGCCTGCAATTTCAGCTCTCAGGAAGCTGAGGTAAATGATGAAGAGTACAAGGCCAGCCTGGACTGCATAGTGAGGTAGTCACAAAGAAAGAAAGAGGAAGAGAAAAGAGGAGAGAGAGAGAGAGAGAGAGAGAGAGAGAGAGAGAAAACCAAAGCCATTTGACCAAACAAGCAAACAGCCCCAAAGCAATGGGCTCTGTAGTCTGTCCTGGAAGGCACGGACTGTGTGAAACCCTGTAGATCTAGGACTTAGACAATAGCAACTCATTTTCTCACTGTCTGAGGACAGTGACAGGGTTGGCTCCTGCTGAGGCTCCTCTCCCTGTCTTGCAGGTGGGGGGTCTCTTGCTGAGTCTGCATGAGAAGAAGCGTGGGAAAAGAGAAGGGCCCCTCCTCTACCAATAGCCTCATTTCGACTTATTTACCTCCATACATGTCTATAGTAGTTACTTTTCTCCTTACCTGCCAGAAAGTATCTTTTGGGAGGAAGGTTTTATTTGGACTCAGTTCTAGGGTACATCTTTTTTCCTCTAATGTGGATGGTGGAGATCCAAACTTAGGTCATCAGGCTTGGGTGGCAAGCTCTTTCCTGCTGAGCCATCTCCTCAGCCCCCAGTGAATCATTTAATTACATCCCCAAGAGTGAAATATGCCATCTCTCCATGACTGCCCAAGGAAGGACACACACTGCCCACTACCTTAAGGTTCTGCTGCTAGGGGCCCCTGTGGGACGTGGACTGTTCTCCACCTACAGGTACAGGGAGTGAGTCTCCGGTCCTTCTATAAGCGATCAACAGACCATGTTACCTTCACCATCGATCCAGTCCGCGACCTTCTCATTTGGGCCATCATCCAGAACCGCCGGGAGCTGGCAGGCATCATCTGGGCTCAGGTACCAGGACTGGTTTAGTTGCAGACATGATAACGTCTAGACTGGTGATCTGAGTCAGAGACTCACCTCAGGGGACAGTGAGATCTCTAACCTAGGGAGGCTTGGAGCACTCGGTGGGGAACACAAGCTTCTGTGGAAAGCAATTCTTAAAAGAAAGTAAAAAGGGCTGGAGAGATGGCTCAGAGGTTAAGAGCACTGGCTGTTCTTCCAGAGGTCCTGAGTTCAGTTCCCAGCAACCACATGGTGACTCATAACCATCTATAGTGAGATCTGGTACTCTCTTCTGACATGCAGACATACATGTAGGCAGAATGCTGTATACATAATAAATAAGTAGACCTTAAAAACACGAATAAAAACTGACATTTAATGAAAGTAATAAAGAAAAGGAAGGGAGGATAAAGGCTTTCTAAGCAAGCTGTTGTGGTTATTTTCAGGACTGAGGATGTGGGCAGTGTTGGTCTCTATGCCCTGCCCAGATCTTGCCAGCTCCTGTCTGTGCATTACACTTCTTAGGGAGACAAGGGTACGGTACCATAGTTCAGTACAAGAGGCTGCCATCAGAGGGGTTATATGTTAATGTGGGGTGACTCTATTTGTTTATATGAGTGCCCCCCCAAACTTCTGGTCCTAAGCATCTGTGTTCACTATCATAGCTTTCTAGATACAGGGTGGGTAAACCTGGTGATGCCCCAGGTCCTCACAGTGCCCCTGTGTCCCAGAGCCAGGACTGTATTGCTGCAGCCCTGGCCTGCAGCAAGATCCTGAAGGAGCTGTCCAAGGAGGAGGAAGATACAGACAGCTCAGAGGAGATGCTGGCACTGGCGGATGAGTTTGAGCACAGAGCTATAGGTGAGCTCCCTGGGGCCACCTGCACTGTCACCAGGGTCTCCATCTCTGTATGTCAGCTCCAATGCTGTTACCTAGAGTCCTTGTCCATGACCTGGATGTTTCCGGACAGTACCTATGAATTAGTCTTAGCCTATGTTCTGCCTTTGCTGAGGGTCCCTTTGCTGGCTCTCTGGTTGTCCCAGGCTCTATTTTTTCTCCCTCTCCTCAGGTGTCTTCACTGAGTGCTACCGGAAGGATGAGGAGAGGGCGCAGAAGCTTCTTGTCCGGGTGTCAGAGGCCTGGGGGAAGGCCACCTGCCTGCAGCTGGCCCTAGAGGCCAAGGACATGAAATTCGTGTCTCATGGAGGCATCCAGGTAACTCCCTGAGGGCCCACTTCCAGAGTCAGGTGCCCAGGGGGACACAGCCCTGACTCTGATGATATGGCTGCTCCTAGCAGTGTGACTCTTTGATGGCTGGGATAATGCCTGGTACCTAGGCTTACACTGAAGGACAGACTTTTGCCTCCTGGTTCAGGAATGGGGAAACTGGTGCACAGCAAAGTCAGTGGCTGGTGGACACAGAGGCTGCTGCTCAAATGGTGCCCCAGGCTTCTAGGAGGTGCAGGTGGCCCCCAGTGTACTTTCCAGGAACCTGTGCCTTCTGGGGATCTCAGGAAGGGCAGCAGGATAGTGTAGCCTTCGTGGAACATTAGACAATGAAACATACTCCTTTGTTATTTGGATATCCTTGGAGCACAACCTCATGTTGTTAACGTGCCCACAGGACTCCATGTGTTCTGGGATTTGCAGAGCCCAGGGATGCCCAGGGAGGAATCAAGTCCTGCCCTGTGGTGCCAAAAAGAGTCTGCTTATGACAGCTTGGGACTGCATGGCCTCGGGACCTTGCAGAGACTGGGGGTCCTGAAGCTGGAGGAGGGATGGCAGGCAGGAGGGGAGTTAGAGCCCTGTGTGATAAGCCCTGCTTATCTACCACTTATCACCCACTATGACCTGACTCCAACCACCCAAAATCCTGATTGCTCTGCTGGCCGACCATGGGGTGCCACTTGTGGTTAGGGGTTCGGAGCATAGTGATTAGGGGGACATAACTAGCACTCATCCTCGATTGGGGGTCAGACTGCTGGGTGGCCCCTGCCCTGAGACCACGCTGTCCACAGGCTTTCCTGACCAAGGTGTGGTGGGGCCAGCTCTGTGTGGACAACAGCCTGTGGCAGATCATCCTGTGCATGCTGGCCTTCCCACTGCTCTTCACCGGCCTCATCTCCTTCAGGTGAGAGGGAGGTCCAGGCTTCTAGGAGGTGCGGGAAGTAGAGGGGGCACCGCCCGTCCTCAGTGCCGTCTTGGGTCAAACTCTTCCGTGGCCTGAGTGTTCTGCTGAATGCTGGAGGCTGGCAGTGCTGATGAGTCTGTCTCTTGGCCTCAGTTCCATGGCAACAGGGAGCATGGGGTGGGTAGGGTACCCTTGATGCTGCGGCCAGACTTGGGTGGAGGACTGAAGACCGGGTCTGGCTGTGGTTCACTTGTGGTCACCTCAGAGCACAAGCGCTCTTATGAAGATGCTATTTCTATTTTGCTAGATAGCATCTCTGTTCCCTGGGGATTCGGGGGCAGATACCAAGCTCCAGGCCAGGTAGCCAGTGGCAAACCCTCTCATTGCCATAGGCCACATGCTGTATCACCTTCTCACGCCCTGACGGTTGGGGGGTGTGTCTTAGGAACGGGTTGGCAGCTCAGGTACTAAAGCAGTTTCAGTCTGCCCTGCTTTCTGAACTCCCACCCTGCACAGACCCAGGAGGACCAGAAGTCAATCTCACCTTCCAGTGGGCATAGACATCGTCATGTGACCTTTATAGTATTCCCCCCCCCATCCCTGAGGGGAACAAGGCTGCACCTGTGTTTCCAGTGGCAGCTGTGGCAGGAGGCTGCACATCAGAGTGTGTCCTCGTGGGAACTAGGTCACGCTGTGAGAATAGCCTTTATGACAGTAATGGCAGCTGGTCCCCGATTGTGGAGGCACCTGAGGCCTGAGAAATCCATCTAAGAACTCACGCTAAGAGCATGGCACAGGGAACCTAACCCAGGTTAGGCTTATAGCCAGGCCTCAGCCCTGGATAGGAGCTGCGATTTTCACAGTACAGCAGGATGCAGGGACTCCTGGCCTTTTGGATCTGTGCAGGGTTTGGGGTCTTTAGTGCCAATGCTGTGCTGGCCTGTCTAGAACTGCTATGTGACCTTTGGTACCAGGTTCCTTTCCTAGTATATTTGCCCCTTGAGCTATATCTCTCTCAGGACGAGTGGGGGTCCAGAGGACTGTGGGGTGTTGGGTTTTCAGTCTGTCACAGTCCCCTGAGGTGTCTGTTGCAGGGAGAAGAGGCTACAGCCCCTGTGCCGCCCAGCCCGTGTCCGCGCCTTCTTCAACGCGCCTGTGGTCATCTTCCACCTGAATATCCTGTCCTACTTCGCCTTTCTCTGCTTGTTCGCCTACGTGCTCATGGTGGACTTCCAGCCCTCGCCTTCCTGGTGCGAGTACCTCATCTACCTGTGGCTTTTCTCCCTGGTGTGCGAGGAAACACGACAGGTGCTCACTGCCCCCACACCAAGTGTCTGTCACTACCGAGCTTCATCCAGGCCCCAGGGAGCTGGGTAGAACCCCAGAAGGCAGGCACCCACTCCTCCACCTGGGAGCCTTGCCTCCATGATCTGACTGCCTTACCTGAGGCTAGGAGACGGACATTTTCCAGTACCCCAGAAGTTGAGCTAGTTCTGTGTGACCCAAAGTCCCCCAGCTACCTAATCACATTCTGCGACTGCCTTAAGTAGGTGTGTCTCCCTACATTGCCAAGTACGGGGCCCTGTGTGATCATTTGCAAAAGGCACAGACTGATGGAGAACCATGAATGTGATTATGGCTCACTTCAGAAAAGGGCTCAGAGTAAACCCTGCCAGATACAGAGGTACCATCCATCCAAGGATGGTTGACTCAGAGCATCCAGAGGTTCCTTCCCTGAGGCAGGGGCAGAACATGATTCTCCCTGCAAGGGTGTGTAATGACATTCAGGGTTCCGGTCCTTCGGGCCAGCCTCTGTAGCCAGAGACCCTCCATGAGAGTCAGAGCTTCTGTGTCCCCTGAACTCACCTCACTGGCAGCCCAGCATAGAGAGCACATGTGTTTCCTAGAATCTGTCCCTCAGGTCCAGGGAAAGGACATGCTTGACCATGGCATTTGGGGCCTGTTACCAGAAAAGGGTGAGGATTCCTGCCAGGCAGACCATGTAAGGATCCTGGGGTCTCCTCCAGGCCCCTCCTTCCCGGGCTGTCTCTGGGAGCAGGTGTCATTCTGGACAGAGCAAAGATCCTTGTGGGAGGAGCTGGTAGGGAGAAGGGAGCTTCTCCAGCACACACATATATACACACTTGCACTCACACGTGTCTATTTGCATACATACACACACACACACACACACACACACACACACACACACAGGTTTAATAGGACCCCTGGTTCATGAGAGTCTAGCGGGGAAGTGTGTCAGGTACTTACTTCTGCTCATGCTGATCCTGGACTCGTTGAGTGCAGAGGTCCCCCCCCTTCCCGTGTCCTGCTGGCCCCCACCACAGCCAAGCTCTGCCCACAAGGAGCTGTCAGTGTGATGGAGATGGAGATGTTGGCCTCCCTAACTGTGGTCTCCTCAGTAGCTCTTCTATGATCCTGATGGGTGTGGGCTGAAGAAGATGGCGTCCCTGTACTTCAGTGACTTCTGGAACAAGCTGGACGTTGGTGCCATTCTGCTCTTCATAGTAGGATTGACCTGTCGGTGAGTGGCCGGGGTACCCCTGCCTTCTTCCTAAGGGGCACCTGAACCCAGCCATCTTAAGACAAGGTGGGGAACTGGCTTTGCCCCTGACAAGGTAATCTCTGAACCTTGACTCTTGCCTGTCTGTGGGCACAGTGACGGCTGAGACCATGCCTGCCCTTGACGCTGACGGAGAAATGCTGTTGGGGTGCGTGACTGTTCTGGGTCCATCTTGGGTTGCTGTCACGTGTGAGGGCCTCCAGTCAGCTTCCCAGACATACAGTGTCCTCTTTGTCCCTCCCTGCTTGGTTATGTCTCACTCACGACAGCTGGGGTATCTGAGAGGTGGTGGCCCCCTTTCTTCTTGAGGTGGAATGGATATGGCCAAGGCTCCTGGAATTCTTTCTGGGATGTCTCTGCACCTGAGTTCCTGGTTTCTACTGAAGTTAACTCAGTTCTCCACAGATATTTTACTCTTGATGTTACCATTGCCTTTGATATATTTGGCCTGGCTCCTCCAGAGCCCCATACCTCCAAGGACCACCCCAGGCCAGGGAGAGGTTTTAGAAACCTCTGCCTTCTGGCGAACAGAGCCTGAGGTGGTACCTTGCCCACTGCCAGACTTATCCCAGTGACACTGTACCCCGGGCGCATCATCCTGTCTTTGGACTTCATCATGTTCTGCCTCCGCCTCATGCATATCTTCACGATCAGCAAAACGCTGGGGCCCAAGATCATCATTGTGAAGCGCATGGTGAGGACACAAGAGGCTTGCCTGGGAGGGGCTGGGGCCCACGGCTGCTGTGAGGGAAGCTGAGGGCTGTGCCCATCATGAAGGATGTAGGACGGTACTAGAGCTCACCGTTTGTCCCATGTCTTGCCTCTGCCTCATCCTCAGAATCTCTGAATGTCCTCATCCTATTGTCTGGATGCCACCTCCTCCAGGCTGCCTTGCCCATTTCTTATTTCACAGCCCCAGCATGGGCCCCATTGCTGCTCAGATGCAAGTCCTTTCTTCTTTGAGTCTTTATTGTCCAACCCCAATCCACATCTTGGGGTGTTCCCCGAAGATGTCAGTGAATGCTCTGTGAGATTGCAGGGAGGCCCTGGGTTGCTCCCCGGTATCCTGCATTCAGCGGAGAGAGGAGATCCAGGATGGGAAGTACAGCCATTGCTTCACTCTCTACAGATGAAGGACGTCTTCTTCTTCCTCTTTCTCCTGGCGGTGTGGGTGGTGTCCTTCGGAGTGGCCAAGCAGGCCATCCTCATTCACAACGAGAGCCGAGTGGACTGGATCTTCCGTGGGGTCGTCTACCACTCTTACCTCACCATCTTTGGGCAGATCCCAACCTACATCGACGGTAGGAGTCAGATTGTGGGCATCTAAGGGGCAAGGAGAAATGAGAGAGATGGGGTGGGGGAGCTCCCTAGGGCCCTCTAAGAGTCCAAGGTTACAAGAGATAGAGTTCATTTTCAGCAAGGCTGTGTGGCTTTCTAAGGACTAGCTTGTTCTGGATGCTGATAACCCTCAGCAGAGCGTGGAAGGCACAGGGATTTCCCAGCCAATGAGGAGCGGGACAGCAGGAACTTAAGCTATGCCAGAATGTATGGGGCACGATTGACAGTCCACAGCATTAAAAGTCACCCCATCCCCCTCTCTCACCCTACTGCAGTCAGAAACTACTGCTTACTCTCTGATAGAAAGACAGCTTCCCAGTGTAAGTGGGTGTGTATCTGTGCCTGTGTGTGAGCTTACACATACTTATGTGAGTATGTGTATGTGTGTGAGTTCATATGTGTATATGTGAGTGTGCGCACATGTGTGTGGGTGTGTGTGCTTGTGTGGTGGCCAGAGGACAACCTCTGGTGTCATTTCTTAGGAGCCACCCACCCTGTTTTTGTTCTTAGTTTTTCCTTTATTTTTATTTTATGTATGTGGATTTGCGTTCATGTATGTCTGTGCACCATATGTGTGCACTGCCCAAGGAGGTTGAAGAGGGTGTCAGACCCCCTAGGACTTGAGTTACAGACAGTTGTGAGCCTCCATGTGGGTGCTGGGAACTGGACACAGGTCCTTAGAAAGAATATTCAGTGCTCTTAATTGCTGAGCCGTCTTTCCAGTCCCTCCCTTGTTTGAGACAGGATCTCCAATTGGCCTGAATCTTGCCTAGTAGTCTAAGCTAGCTAGGCAGAGCCCCAGGGATCACCTGTTTCCTCCTTGGCACTGGTATTGGAAGCACAAGCCATAACATCTGGCCTTTAACATGATTTGAACTCAAGCCACACCATCAAGCAAGCCTTTTACTGATGGAGCTCTCCTCCAGTCCCATTTGTTTTTTAAAGCCAGCTTCTTTCAGGTAGATTTGCTGCGTCATAAGCTACCCGCAGAAGGTCTACACATGGTGTCTCACAGAAACTAGCCTCAGACCCCAACCCTTCAGCGGCCACTGCCCTCCTCTCTCCGTCCCACAAAGCTACTCATCTGCGGCCGTCCATACACATTTGCTCTCCCGGACTTGTCACACACGTTAGACCTAATGTGGCGTGCACTCAGGCGGGTCTGGCTTTGCCACCCAGTGTCACATTTCCAGGGATCACTGTGTGTGTGTGTGGAGGGGGCTGCAACAGTTATCAGTGCTTTATTCTATTTTATTGCTAAATTGTAGTTCTCTACATGGACAAGGCACATTTTAGTGATTCTGAAGCTGTGATCTCTGGCAATATTCCTGGGTTTCGGCTACTCTGGACTGCTGTTGCTGTGAACTTATGTCTGTGCTTTGGTGCGGGTGTGTTTAACTCTGAGACAAGCCAAGCTGCTTCCACAGAGGCTATGCGTTCCAGTTTCTCCACACTCACCTCACACTCGTTCCTGCCCAGTGGGGGTCAGTGGTGTGTCCTTGTGGCTCTGATGGGCACTTCTGTTGTGGCTTCTGCTGAACATATTTCCATGTACTTGCTGGACCGTTTGTACATCTTCCTGGGAGAAATGACCATTTCTATCTTTCGCTCGTTTCCCCCTTCCATTATAATTTTTATTGTTGAGCTTTTAAGACCTTCATCACAGGGTCAGTTTGCAATAATTTCTCTTATCACAGAGGTTGTCTTTTTATTTTATTTATGGAAAGACATTTTCTTTGAAGCATAGAATTTTAATGAGGCGCAGCTTGATTTTTAAACCCGTTTATGCCTCTGTGTCACAGTGAAGGAAACATTGCTGAACCCACGGCTTGGAAGGTTTATTTATGTGTGTGCTATTTTTTTAATGAGGGCTTATGGCTTTCGATCTTTCTTTTGGCCTCTGACTCATTTGCAGAAATTAGCTTTCAGCCTCACCCCATCAGTGCTACTGTCTTCTTTCCCTAGACAGCCATGAATCTACTTCATCTATACACATTTGTGTGTGAGATAAGGGCCATCCTTGTTTTTAAATTGCTATTGTTTTGTATATGTTGGTATTTTGTTTGCATGCCTGTTTGTGTACTATGTGTCTGTTTGGTGTCTAGAAAGGCCAGAAGAAGGCATCAGATTCCCTAGAACTGGAGTTAGAGACGGTTGTGAGCCACCATATGGGTGCTGGTAATAGAATACAGATCCTCTGGAAGAGCAATCAGTGCTCTTAACCTCAGAGCCATCTCTTCAGACCCACTGTGCTCGGCAAGGACCATTCTTTCTTAGGTGGCTGTCTATTGTCCCAGCAGCATCAGTTGACAATTGTTTCTCGCTGAGCTGTCCTGGCTCCCCGTGACAGTCACCTGATCCTTAATTAAAGCATTCATCTTAGGTCTCCCACCCTTTTCTGCTGTTATGTGCATCTGGCCTTGCCCAGTCCCTCCCTGCCATGGCTACTGTAACTTGTAGTAAATTTGATATCGGGCAAGGTGGGTCCTCCAGCCTTGCTCTTCTTCTTTCAGATTGCTTTGGACTCCTTGGGTCTACACAAATTTTGGGGTTTTGGGCTAGAAACAGGTTGTCTCTCTGACTGTTTGAACCACTGGCTTGCCTTAGTCATCCTTCAGCTTCTAGTGGCCAGGTCTGGAGCTGTTAAGCTCATTCTGGGCTATGTCTTCCTTTTTGTGTTATTGTTTTTTTTTTTAGTCCTATTATTTTCTTGATTTATTTTATTTTTAACTATGTGTATGTATATGTCTCTGAGGATATGTTCACATGATAGTGGTGCCCACAGAGGCCAGAAGTGTCTGTCTGATCCCCTGGAATTGGAGTTATAATGGTTGAGAGTTACCCGAAGTGTGTGCTGGGGACTGAACTTGGGTCCCTGGAAGAGCAGTTCTGTGCTCTTACCTGCTGAGCCACCTCTCTAGCCCCACTTATATATTTTAAGATCCTTTTCTGCTAATTGAATTTCTCAGAATCAAGACCCATCCACTGATGTCTGTGGCCATGAGAAGTGCCTTGGGGGAGGGCTGGCTGAATCCTGGCCTGCAGGCAGCCAATCTGGACGACAGCTCTGGCTCCAGACTCCCATAGCAGCCCACTTCCTGCTTGAGGATACCCAAGTACAGACAGACCTCTTGTCACGCTTTGGACCCTAGCCGGATACCCAGTCCTTAACTCTTGTGATGTCTGAGCCTACGGGGACTCTCAGTGCCCCAACGGCCAGGGTCCCCGGCAGCCAGTTCCTGGAGACTGACTTCCTGTTTTCTGGTTGCCCCACCCACTCCCCACAGGTGTTAACTTCAGCATGGACCAATGCAGCCCCAACGGCACAGACCCCTACAAGCCCAAGTGTCCCGAGAGTGACTGGACAGGGCAGACACCCGCTTTCCCCGAGTGGCTGACAGTCACCCTGCTCTGCCTCTACCTGCTCTTTGCCAACATCCTGCTGCTCAACCTGCTCATCGCCATGTTCAAGTGAGTGTAGGCGTCTGTGCTACACTCAAGTGGTAAGGCTGTCCTGGGCGAGTGTGTGCACAGGCAGGCGAGAGTGTGTGGAGCCAGTGTGACATCCTGTCTGTGTCCCTGCTCCCAGAGGCCCAGTAGCCCCTGTCTGCTGACTTTGGGATCATAAAACCCATTCCTATTCCGACTGGAAGGCCCAGCTTGCCCACCATGAAACCCTTGAGTCCTTGGCCCTCCTGTCTCTATAGACAGGTTCCTGATGGCCGTGACCTTTGGCGTCTCTCCAGTGTGATGTGAACCATGTACTCTTTTCTCACCGGCTGACTTCAGGGGACATCCCTTCTGTTTTAGAGTATTCTGAACACTGAGAGCTACATGTGCTAGCTAGATCTGAGGTCAGGGCAGGGGGTGTGGGTAGGGGGTGGGGTGGGCTCTGTCTCTCAGGCCCCAAAAGCTATCTGATAAAGTGTCACGGGTCGTTTCCCCTGCTCCTGGGCTTCTCTGTCATTCTTGGGTACCTGGGTACCTGAGACAACGTCCTCTGCGGCTTCAAATCTTGACACGCAGATAAGCTCTTCAGTGCTGTCCCCTCACAGATGCCGCCTTTGTTTATTCCTGAGCACAAATATAAAATCCCTGTGACTTCCTGGCCTTGCCCCTTTCTCAGAAGCTGGCTGCCACTTGGCGTTTGGCTTACTTCCTGCTCACTTGCTTCTGCTGTACTTGGCCCTGGAATGTTGTGTCCCACAAACATTCTGATCCATATCCCCCTGCCACCTGGGGCCCGGAGAGATGGCTCAGAGGTTAAGAGCACTGACCGCTCTTCCAGAGGTCCTGAGTTCAGTTCCCAGCAGCCGTAATGGTGGCTCACAACACCCCTGCTTCCCACCAGCTACACATTCCAGGAAGTGCAGGAACACACAGACCAGATCTGGAAGTTCCAGCGCCATGACCTGATTGAGGAGTACCATGGCCGGCCCCCGGCCCCTCCCCCCTTCATTCTCCTCAGCCACCTGCAGCTCCTGATCAAGAGGATTGTCCTGAAGATCCCTGCCAAGAGGCACAAGCAGCTCAGTGAGTCCCTATGTCCACTCCCCCCCCGACACTGCAGTCCCACCATCCTGGGTGCAAGTGTGGGGTTCCTTCCAGAGTCCTGGACCATCAGTAGATACACTGATGTCTCATGCTTCTGGGTTTTTCCCGCACCTGGCATAGGCTAGTTGCTCCCTGAATCTGGATATGGGGTGATGGACCCTTTCCAGGGAGCCCTGGGTGGGTCCTCAGGTCCTTGCTAACCCTATCCTGCCTACAGAGAACAAACTGGAGAAGAACGAGGAGGCGGCTCTCCTGTCCTGGGAGCTCTACCTGAAGGAGAACTATCTGCAGAACCAGCAGCACCAGCACAAACAGCGGCCAGAACAGAAGATCCATGACATCAGTGAGAAGTACGGAGGTGGGGAGCCCCGGGGAATGTGTTAAAGTCATGTCCTGAAGCTCCAAAGCCATACTAAGTACAGTTCCATGGGGGAGGACTCATGCTCAGCTTGTGGGAGAGAAAACCGGATGTCATTGTGTCCAGACAGGCAGACAGGGTGCCCGGTTGTGATGCTTTTGGCAGATGATGAAGCTGATGGTGATAATAGTGGTATTGATGGTCGTGAGGATAATGGTGATGGCAGCAGTGACAATGATGTTAGGGCTGGAGGTGATGCCGATGATAGCGATGATGCTGGTGATGGTGATGATAATGCCAGAGATGACCGGTGACTCTAGTGATGATGCTGGTAATGAGAGTGCTGGAGAGGATGGTGTTGGGAGTGATAGTGCTGCTCCCGATAGTGCTGGTAGTTATGGTGACGTTGATGGCAACATCAACAAACCTCAGTGAACTAGCTGATGATCAAAGCCCCTTATGCCTAGTATGATGGGCGAGCTAGACAAAGATGTCCCATTTGCTTGAGTTTGGGCACAAGGACATCAAGCTAGTCCTTGAGACGCCCTCTACTTAGAGCAGTGGTCTACTCAGTGTCCTTGCACTGAAGGGTCCTTCCTACTTCCACACCCCTGTCTGTGCCTCTAAACGATTCTGAAGGCTGGCTGGTTGGCAGCTTTACTGGTGTGTTGGCTGATGGTTTTTTGAGTGCACTCTGTGGTGAGCCTGTCTCAGGTTCATTTGTGGTTTATTGGTGAATTTGGAGATAAGCTTGTTGGTTTGGTAATGTATCCATGGATTGCTTGCGAATGTACTAATTATCTTTTGGTAGCTGTGACAAAATGCCGTGACCAAGGTGACTTATAGAAGAGTTTATTTTGGCTTACGGGTCCAGAGGGTTAGAGTCCATAATAGGGGCAACAGCATGGCAGCCTGGTGACAGGCATTTAGCAGGAGCAGGAAGCTGAGAGCCCACATCCTGGACTGGAAACCCAAGGCTGAGAGAGCAAATCTCATAACCCACCAGCGACACACTTCCTCCAGCAAGAATAACCCAAACCTTCCCAAACAGGGCCATCAACTGGGTACCAAGTGTTGAGATGCCCAAGACTTGAGTGGGAGGGCATTTCTCATTCAAACCTCCACATTGGGCTGGGGTAGTATCCAGCTGTCCCTCTGTGAGTTACCTGAGAGCCGGGACAGAATCTTACGGGGTCCCCACAGTAAACAACCCCCAGAAAAATCCCAGAGCCACACAGAAACTCATTGAATGCTGTGTGGTCCTTGAGTTATGGGTGTTGGCCTGGCTAGCCTGCAGCCGTCTGGGCTGTGCTCCTTGCTGACATTACACTCTCATTGTCTATTTAAGGGCAGGTGCCAGGTTCCATGCAGCCCCTTAACACCTGCTATTACCTGCTCATCAAGAATGGTTGCATGGTGCCATTTAATTTTGAATAATGATTGTGCCCAATGCCCAGATATTGGGGTGTGTGGTGCTCAGGGAGCTCCTGAAATGGGGCCCATGTCTGGATGCTCCATTGCCAGGATGGTCTTGAAGTGGGATCAGTAGGGTCAGCATGAGGGTTCTGACGGCACAGTGTCAAGGGCTTGCTGTGGACTGAACATGTGATCTTACCCTAGCCTGCCTTACAAAGAGGTGTTGATTATTCCATCTTTGCCACTGAGGAGACAAAGACGCAGAAAGGGGACAGAAGTAGACTAGTCCAGTGTTCACTGCTGGAGAGCAGTGTAGCCTGGACTTGGAGGCTTGTCCTGGTGATTTCACTGCCTGTTCTTCCAAAGGTCCTGAGTGCAATTCCCAGCAACCACACGGTGGCTCACAACCATCTGTAATGAGATCTAGTACCTTCTTGAGGAAGAGACCTGGTCAGTCATCTGCATCAACTTAGACCATGAAACCCAATATGGACAAGTTCAACAGAGTGCCATATATGGGCTGCCCGTGCATGCTTCAGCATTGCCAGGGCATAAATTTCATTTTTGTTCCTGGTGATTTTCCAGTCTTCTGCTTCAGGGAACTAGGCTAGCTCTGAAGAAGCCAGTCACACGAGCCAAGCCCACTCAACCCTCACCCCAGATTTCCTTCCTTGTAGGAGGCTCAGAATGGATCCTGTGTCCAGTTTCCAGCCTGGAGCCTGGAGGAACTGGGTTTCTCCAGTTATTTCCTGAGGTTGAAAAGGATTATTGAAGTAGCAAATTTCCAAGATGGTTCCGACGGACATTCTAGGGAAATAGTATCTAGCATGCTAAGATGTAACGTTTCAGAATCCCTGATCTGCTCTCTAGAAGCCTTTAACAAAACTCTATGCACTCGGTCAGGGAGTGCTGTGACACAGAGTAATGGGGAGATGAGGAGTAGCCCCCCAAACCCGGTGAGGAACCTGGCCACACACAGCAAAGATCTGAGGCTCGGGGCGTGCCCTGGTGTGTGGTGTCCTAGCTCCTCACCCACAGAGTATGGCTGGAGTTTGGGGGAGTTTCTGCCAATCTAGATGGTTCCCATGTGTCACTGTGACTGAACTGTGGGGTTCCAAACACGCTATAAGTATCACCATGTCATGTTCTCAAGGGTGTCTGTAAAAAGAGGCAGGGGCACCAGGGTATCGTCTGGGGACTGAAGCAATGCAGTGTGTGAGGAAGTAGACGCCAGTGCTCTCAGTGCCGTCCTTAGCTTCCCTTCCTCGGATGGCTGTTTAAATTGGGCCACATCCCCAGAAACACGTTCAGACATTACGGTGTGGCTCACTTTATTACACAAGGATATTGATAGCAGTTGGCATTGCAGGTTAGAGGAAATAAAGAAATTCCTGGGCAGAGTCCCTTGGAGCTCAACAGGCCTAGACTTGATGGTAGTTTTAACTGTAAACACAGCTGGCCACTGTAGGGAAGAGGGGGAGGGCTTCTGGTGCAAATCAAACATTCCCCAAAAGCCCCAGTGCCCCACCTGCACCAGCCCAGCTGTCGCCACAATCTTTTTCATTCGAGACAGCTTTCAAAGCTCACGGCCCAGCACCAGGTGGCAAATATAGACAAGTGAGCTACTGTGAGTGCAGTCACCTCTCCCAGCGGACACTCTGAGGGCCACATGCACCTGGGTTGCCCTTCTTCTGGGGCAGCTTTATTTTATGATAGAGATGTATGCTGTAGATGCTTTCAAATTCTAAGAGATAGTATTGACGTGAGAGCCAGCGGGAGGTCACGCCCGGGCTATTGGGTTTGCTAGGGCTGTCTGCAATTGGGGTATCCTGTTTCCTATAATTGTCAGGGTCCCTAAAGCCTCTCTATTTGTCCTGTATCAGAGTGGACACCATGGTGGGTCTGCTGGACATGGACCGTGTGAAGAGGTCGGGCTCCATGGAGCAGAGGCTGGTCTCCCTGGAGGAGCAGGTAGGTTGAGTTGGGGCCTGGTGGGATATTTGTGGTGTGGTAACACTGATACCAAGACCTTTGGGGAAGGATAATGGAGGTCTGAGAGAGCGGGGGTGGGTGAGAGGGAAAGGGAGAGAGGGGGAAAGAGAGAAATAGAGATAGAGACAGACACAGAGAAAGGGGGAAGAGAGAGAGGAAGAGGAAGAAGGAAAGGGAGAGAGAGGGAAAGAGATATAGAGACAGAGACAGGGACAGAGAAAAAGGAGAGGAGAGAGAGAGAAAATTTTCCATTATTCTCTAGAAAATTATACCCAAGCTTTTTTCCACTGAGCTTCCCCCGGGTTTGAACAGTGAGGTGCCCACATCAGTACACACTCCTGGCAGTCCCAGGATCCTTCTCTATTTGAGGCCATTTCTTAGACATGTCTTGGAACTATGCCTTAACTTTGCCTGAGGCCAAAGGACCAACCTCAGGTCCTCCTCCGAGGCTGCATGGCCGCACAGGGTGCCTGGGTCACTTGGGGAGTGAGGTCAGTCCTCCAGGTCATAAACCATATGCAACGTGGGCCACAGGTGTCAACTTAGTCTTTCTTGGGGCATGCCATCCAGGTAGCTCAGACGGCCAGAGCTTTGCAGTGGATCGTGACAACCCTGAAGGACAGTGGCTTGGGTTCAGAGGCAGGTGTGCTGACCCTGGGTGAGTAGATGGTCTCTCAATAGCTTGCTTTATTGATCTATATGGTTTTGAGTCTGAGGGATGGGTTGGCAGAAAAGGCGGTTATAGGGGTTTTGGCTGTAGCTACCTCGATGCCCTGTGGGGCCAGCTCTCACCTCTGCTTATGAGCTGAGCAAGTCTCTCCTAGCTTGAGCCATTACTGGACTCCTGGGGACAGCATGTCATGCCTCCTTGACCTCTTTTTTCACATCTTGCTATTGGAGGCAGGGAGCAGTTCCAGGGGACCGAACCTATCATGTTAGTCAAGGCATAGAAAGCAAAGCCTATTTCCTTAGAGGTGCAGCCATCAAGGAAATGGAAACAAATGGTCTTCCTTAGGTGTGGCTTCCCCGTAGGGAGCAAACTTGTCTTGATTAATTGGACAGGCCCTGTCACTCACTGCTGAGACATTTAAGTGTGGCTTCAGTGGTAGGCGTCTGCTAGGTGATGCTGACCTAACGTTTTGTCCTTCTCTGGCTGAGGACCCTGGGAATGGGACGTGGGGTCTCAGAGCTGGCATTCAAACACGTGTCTGTGTCTAGCATCCCAAAGGGCTTTTGATGAACCGGATGCTGAACTGAGTATCAGGAGGAAAGCAGAGGAGCCAGGAGATGGCTACCATGTGAACGCCCGGCACCTCCTCTACCCCAATGCCCGCATCATGCGCTTCCCTGTGCCCAACGAGAAGGTACCCTGGGAGGTGAGCGTAACTCTCTTATGTGAACTAACACAGGAGAGGCTTGACTTTGGGGGAGGAGGAGAGGTCCTCCCGTGTTCATAGTGGCCTCAACCCACTATAGCCTCTCTGGTCATCTGAGCATTAGATGAGGAAACTAAGCAAGGCGTGAGAGGTTCAATCACATGAGCCATACAGCCAACGTGTGGAAGAGCCTGGTGCGGTACCCTGGCCTTACAGAGTCATGGCACAGGGCTGCTTCTGTAGCTCCTCATGTCCCAGCTGTCCTGGGCCTCTCATCCCATCCACGCCTTCTTGTTCTTGACTCTTTGAGCAACTGCTACTGCCTTTTTGAGTGCTGGGTGTAAGAGAGAGACCCATACACAGAGATAATGGCACTGGGGAGTTCACCGGCTTGTCGTCGCAACCCCCAAGGTTTTCTCTCAGTTCTTCTGGAACATTCTAGCCTAAAGCTCCCTTCTTGCTTTCTCTTTTGTATGGAGGGTTTTTTTTTTCCTTCTAGGGACCCATGTAGTCCTGGTCCCACCCCCGGAAGGTTTAACATCACCCATTGCAATGCTCGCTGCAATGGGCTGATCCCATCGGCGTGTTCATCTAGAATTCTTCCTTAGCTCCCCAATGCGGGGGGATGCCTGTGCACACTTGGGGAGGGAATTTGGTCCTGGTTGGGTAGTGGCCTTGGCTGTAGCTGCTTTTGGACCCATTTGTAGCACCCAGGCCCCGCTTGCCTGGAAAAGCAACAAAACCCCAAGGATCCTACTTGCTTTGTTGCAGGCAGAGTTTCTGATCTACGATCCCCCATTTTACACAGTTGAGAAGAAGGACGTGGCCCTCACAGACCCTGTGGGAGAGTGAGTAGCCCCTGCTCCAGAGGAGCCCTAGAATTCACCTGGAGCAGGCCCAGGCAGGCTCTGCCTCATCTGCCCCAGAGACCCCAGGGCAGCCCTTTCTGTCCTGGACACAACTCATCCAGACAATGGGCATGACTTGTGGCCAGAGGTCCCTTACAAAGGAAAGACCTGGGCCACTGAATTTGAGCCACCCATAGAGGCCGAGTCCCTGTCCCTCTGTGTCTCTGCTCTGCCATAACCTTGCTCCTATTGGGACATGTCCTCTTCCTTGCCCCCAGCACGGCAGAGCCCCTGTCTAAGATCAGTTACAATGTCGTGGATGGACCAACGGACCGTCGCAGCTTCCATGGAGCCTATGTGGTCCAGTACGGGCTGCCCTTGTGAGTATGTCCAACCTTAGCTGGGATTAGTAAACTGGCCTTTGAGGAGAATTTGTTTCTGAGCAAGCTGGCATTTCTTTCTGGTAAAAGCAAATAAGAGAAAAGGAGACTTAACTTGTGTCGTTGAGAAGGCTCCCGGATCTACACTAGCTGGGTCCCAGGTGTGTGGGTCTTTTGGTACCTGGGGACTTTGTCTCATGCTTGATAAAGTGGGAATCACAGCCAAGCATGAGGAAAGCACTCTGCTGCCAGGTGCCAGGTGGTAACCCTGCCCAGCATCTGTGATGGGCTCGTTATGTGAAGACAGCAAGAGACCCATAAACACCACAGTGCTTCCAGATGTAGGATGTGGCCAGCAGGGGGAGCAGAGGATGCTGTGGTGCCTGAGGGAAGGAGGAGGCAGGTGGGTTTTGGACAATGAGAAAGAGTGGGCTATTGTCCCTGGAGCCAGAGGTTGGAGCAGCAGGGGAGAGGTAGCTTGAAATAGAACAGGGTTCTAGCCTGGGTGTCCTCATGGTGGAGCCATGATGGATGGGGGAAGAGTGCTTAGGAAGGAATGTCAGTTGTGGGATGAGTGACCGACCGCAAGGGAGAAGGAGCAATACTGAGGTGACAGGTGCATCCCTGTTGTCATGACAGCTATGTAGAAGCAGATAAGCAGGAAGGACCTGATAGGGCTCAGGGTGGTCCTGTGTTTGTGCACAGGTAGAGCAGAGGCATTGTGTGTCCCCTCCACCCTGTCACTTGTTAACTTACTCTTTGAGGCATGGTCTCTCAATGAGACCGGAGCTCACCAGTTGGTTGGACTGACCTGTCAGTGATCCTCCTGTCTCTGCTGCCCCTGAGAGCACAGGTGTGTGCTTCCATACTAACCTTATTTTACATGAATTTTGAGGATTTACATGGTCAACACTTTGCCTACTGAGTCATCTCCCAGCCCCAATAATTTTTATATAATAGCATACTTACATAGTTAGGACTCGAACTGCTTTTTAAATTATATTTCCCTGGACATAGTTTCCGTCTGTGAACTCATTGGCTACGTCTGTTTTATGTTGCCCCTAATAGAATACCAGAGACTAAGTAGGTTATGAAAAAGAAAGGTTGATTTTTTGGCTCATAGTTCTGGCCCAGCGTCAAGGGCTTGCATCCAAAGATGCCTTCTTGCTGATGGAGGCGGAGGAGGTGCAGGATGTCACCCAGCTAGGACCATCTGGGAGAGCAATCACTTCCTGAAGGCCCCACGTGCCCCCAGTGCCCCATGCATCTAACGATAGGGTGGATCTGATGTGAGCTTTGCTGGGGACAAGCGCAGATCATAAGGAAGCATTAGCCTCTTTTCTTCTCCACAGTAGTGTCTGAAGTGAGTGTTTCTCACTGAGCCACATAGCTGAAGTGGGGGGTGGGGCGGGGGAGGCCCATCCAAGGCGGAGGAGGTGCTGGGCCCGTCAGCTTTCCATCATTGCAAAACACCTAGGACAACCATCTGAGAGAAACAACTGTCACAGTGGCCTCAGTCTGAAAGTTTTTAGTACAGACTCAAGGTGGCTCTGGTGGCCCTGTGGGGGCGTAACCCCACCATGGCAGGGTGTGTGGAGAGTGCTACCTACTCTATTGCTGAGAAGCAAAAGAAAGGGAAAGAAAGCTGGGGTTCCTTTGTCACCTTAAAGGACATCTCAATGACCTAAAGCCTCCCACCAGGCCTCACCTCCAAAGGGCTCCACCTCCCAATAGCTCCATGCCGGTACCAACCCACTGGGTGGTGTGGGAACACCAGGACCTCAGCTGAGCAGTTAGAGATAGGGGAGGGAAGGGAGGGAGGACATCAGGGAGCAGTAGGAGCTGTGGAAGGAAGCAGAGCCCATCTACAGGGTGGCTCTTGCCAGGTGGCAAACGTGGAGTGGTGGACTGAGAGGGTCCTATGTGGTGGTGGCTGTGCCTGTCCTCCGGTGGCACAGGGGTGTGTCTCCCCCTGTTTTGTGTTGAAGTCATGAGACCCACCAATTCTTAGACCTGATTTGGAATGGGGTCCGGTGGAATGAGAGGAGGGGGAAGGGGTCCTAGCTCAATGAGAGGCCCCTGCGCTGCCTGCAATTAGCACTCTGTGCTCCCGGGGTACAGTGAGTCCTTGTGTCCACAGCCTGGTCCCCTCAGCCTGGCACAAGTGTAGTTACCCATCATTTGTGGCCACAGCCACTGGACATAGGCCTCTGAGTTTTTAACCCTATCTGTGGAGGAGGCTGGCCATGGTGACTGCACACTGACCAGAAGCCTTGGCTTTACCCTCTGGACATCTCAGAGGGGCCAGGACAGGTGGGCAGGAGCTGGCACACCATCCCTGCTGTGCCCATTGTGACTCGGCCCCACCTGCCCATGTCCCTACCCAGTTTCCCTCCTAATGCTGTCCTAATCTCTCTATCAAGTGTAGTGGCTAAGTTAATCCTTTCTAACCTAGGAACCCCATGGGCCGTACGGGGTTGCGCGGACGCGGGAGCCTCAGCTGGTTTGGGCCCAACCACACCCTGCAGCCGGTGGTTACTCGGTGAGCCCTATGCCTGACATCTATACTTTGGTTCCAAAGATACCCCCACCCCACGTGTTCTGAGGGCCTAGAGAATGGTCTTGGTGCTTGATACTCAGTGAAAGCCTGTGGAAAAACACAGACACATACCCTGTGCCCAACCGTCTCTGAGAAAGCTCAGGCTACCCTTTCCCCCCTGAAGGCTGCATACGTTTCTTCAGGTACTCCCTTAGCCCTACTAGAGGGCTGATCAAAACTGTTTAGAGCCTCTACTAAAGAGAAAAGTTATAGAAATGACAAAACCCACCCATGATCTCACTGAAATGTTAAGATTGGGAAGTTTTCCTACCAGGGGATGCGCCCCTATTCACATTCTTACACAGCCTTGTCCCCACACCCACATGTGCCACCCTCAAGCCTTTAACCACGTGATGTTTCCAACCCTGGGTCCCGCCTACCTTCTGGGCAGGTGCTGTCTGGCTGCACTTGGGGAATCCCCTGGGGATCCTAGCCTATGTCTCACTGAAGCCCAGCGAGGCACTAGGCTCTCAGGGACAGAGAGCTGTGGCCTTGGACAACTGGGTCAAAGGCTGAGGACAGACTTTCCTCCTGTGGCTTCTGTCTCTATTCTGCCTTGGAACTAGGTGCTTAGGGAAGAAGATGGGGAGGGGGCAGCAGAGGGGAGTGAAGAATGGGGGTGGTGGAGGTGGGAGTATTAGCTGTGGGGGATGCTGCCTCCAGGCCCAGTCAGTCCCTGCCAGCTGCTCTGCACAAGGGCACCCATGGCCCTGCAGTGTAAGTGGGTCCCCCATGTAGGTGGAAGAGGAATCAGGGTGGAGCCATCTGCCGGAAGAGTGTCAGGAAGATGCTGGAGGTGCTGGTGATGAAGCTGCCTCACTCCGAGCACTGGGCCTTGCCTGGGGTAAGCCGGCACCTTATCTGTCCATCCCACTCACTGCGTGTATAGTAGCCACTACAGTCACTGGCGGGGACAGTACCAGCCTCCCATTGCCCTGGATGAGCTGATATGGTACAGTGCTTCTTGAGAGCTCCCTCCTTGGCTTCCCCACAGGCTCACATCCCAGGCCAGGCTTCCCAGGGTGGCAGAGCTCAGTACTGGGACAGCTTAGTACTGGCTTAGACGTGGATTGCCTCTCCCCCTCTAGATTCTGAGTTGAGCCCTAAAGGTAGAAGAGTGCTATTTAAGGGTTAATGGTGGGGTGTTTCACAGGTCTTTGGTTCAAGAAGTCACTAGTTGTAGGACTGAAAGTGAGAGACCCTTTGGTAATGAATTGGGTGGGGTACAGAGGCCCAGGCCATTCATGCCAGTGTGATTCCTTTTTTCCCCCCAGATCAGTTTGTTCTGCTCCTCCCACCTCTAGATCCAGCTGATAGCAGGGCTCAGAAAGCCTTGTCCTGCCAGGAGAACCAAGTCTAGCCTGGCCCTGGCTGTGGCACGCAGTCTATCTGTCGATGCCCCTCCTCTGTCCCTATTCCTTGGGTCTGTGGTTTTCTCCACCTCAACTGCTGTTCTGCCCTTATGACATCTGTCTGTCCCATGGCTCAGAGGTTGCCTTGGTAGGAGAACATGTCCCTGTAGTGGCATAGAGCAGTGGTGTCAACCAGGATCTTCAGGCTAGAGGGTGAATTACAGGACCAGGGCAGTGTCTGGGCTTTCTGGGTGCTGAGAGCCTAGCAACAGGGACCAGGCAGAGGGGACCGAGGACAGGCAAACATTAGGATATGGTACCTGTCCGTCTCTGGTGCCAGGGTGGTGGGAAGTGGTGGGAGGGCTCAGTTGCCTTCATAGAGTCACAGTGGCTGTCTCTGCCCTCTTTAGCCCCACGCTCCTGCTCAGGCTCTGGATTGATGACGCGGGTGGTGGGTCTGGGCAGTGTCACACAGCCAGAGAGCTGATTCTAGACTGACAGATACTGCTGCCTTCAGCTTTTCAGGGGGCTGGCTGGCTGCCTACACCGGGCAGGTGGCCAGAAGAGATGGGTTCCTGGGTTGCCCGGGATCCATCCTGCATGCCTTGTTCACCGGCCTTCACCTCCTCTCTTCTCAGGGGTCTCGGGAGCCAGGGGAGATGCTGCCACGGAAGCTGAAACGGGTCCTCCGGCAAGATTTCTGGGTACCCTTCGAGACCTTGCTAGTGCAAGGTACAGAGGTAGGTCCCACTTCTTATGCATGGATCCCTGTGTGTTGAACTCCTGGGCTGAGTCCCTGCATGCCAATCAATGCCGTCCTGGATCCTTAGGCAGGGCTCAGATGCTTACTTCTTTACAGGACCCTCCACCTCCCCCCCTGCAGACAGACTCCGTGCACACAGATGTGCACGTTCCTGGTGGACATGGACCATGAACAGCCTATGACCTGCTTTTTCTCAGCAGCTGAGATGATGTGTTTAAGTCCAGATTTATGCATCCATCTCCCTCTTTGTCGGGACTAGCATATTCCTGCACATACTGTGATCAATCTCAGCAGCTCTCTGGGGGTAGTCCAGCTGTTCTGCATCTTAGAGAAACAACGGTGATGGCTGGTGAAGCCCACTGTTTCCTAGAGGCCACACAGTTTTGAATAGTATCATTGGCACGGTGCACTGGACACCACTGTCTTTTCTCTTACAATTTAAGTCATAAGTTCTTCTCTTAGCAGAGTAAAATTCATATATCGTGAACCTGGAGGGACTCCATGGACAAACAGGGACACACCCAGCAACAGGACCGAAATGCCTGCATCTCACCATCTTTGAGAAAGCCCAGGCTATCCTGCTTCCCATGGAGGCTGTTTAAGTTTCCTGGGCTCTCTCCTTAGCCCCTCCAGGGGGCTGACAGAGACTTAGTCTAGAATGAACAATTCCCTCACACTGATGAATTCCTAACACTCTGTGGCCACCATCCCTACCTATCTAGGCCCAGCATGTCTTGTCACCCCAAAAGAAGCGTCCGTGCCCTGGGGTGGCCACCTGCCTTTATCTCTAGGATAAAGCTGGTCTGAACTCATGTTTTGAAGCAGATGTGTGGCAGTGACCTCTGCTGTCTGGGTTCTCAAACAGGATCCTTGAGATGAGGACTCTGGATCCCCAGTGCAAGCAGTCAGGTCCTATGCTTGACTTGTGCCAGAGCCCAGTCGTGGGGTCAGGAGGCTGTGGGGCCTGAGACTGGCCAAGAAGAAAGCATGTAGTGGGCAACCTCAAGCAGGGGGGCAGGTCAGGGGGTTGAACAGCCAGCCAGCCATGTTTAGACCCTGGCCCAGGAGGCCCTCCCTGTGGATCTGAACTCTTCCACGGTGGCCTGGGGAGTCAGGGCCCCATCACTGGACCAGATAGCTCACCTCTATACCGGCCCCCAGGTGTATAAAGGGTATGTGGATGACCCAAGGAACACAGACAATGCCTGGATCGAGACGGTGGCTGTCAGCATCCATTTCCAGGGTCAGAACGATGTGGAACTGAAGAGGCTGGAAGAGGTACGAGCCCGGCCTCCACATGGTGGAATGTTCTGGACACGTCTCAGGGTCGTCCCAGTAGCGGTCTGCCTGGGGTCTTGACAAAGCTGCCCATGGATGGGGAGGCTGAGGCAGGTGCTCATCCTTGAGGGACCAAAGGGGGACCAGGGAGAGGTCAGAGAGCCACAGTAGGGGCCTGGACTACTGGATTGTGCTACAGGTGGTGAGGAGATACATTAGTTATTTTTCTGTGTATTGGTTACATTGCTGTGACCAAATGCTTGAGAGAAAGCAGCGTCAGGAAGGGTCTATCTTGACTCGCCGTTGTCCTGGCCGGGAAGTCATGGCAGCAGGAACACGAAGCAGCTGGCCACGCTGCACCTGCAGCCAGGAGAATGCTGGTGCTCAGCTCAACTTCCCCTCCTTATGTGTCCCAGGACTCCCTCTCAGGGAACGGTGCCATCCGCACTCAGAGGGGACCTTCCTTCCTTAGTTAATCCAATACACCCTCTCATAGACTTGCCTGGGGATTTGTTTCCAAGGCGATTCCAGATCCTGTCAAGTTGACCGTCGGTATTAACCACCATGAGAGGACTTGGGGATCGTGTTCAGAGAGAGGCTGGCATGGCCTTCTCCACTCCCTGTGTCCCCTTTATGGGACAGTTGTTCCCCTGGCATTGAGAGTCGTTCTTCCCTCCTGCTGATCTGGAGCCAGGGTGGCGAAGTCCCACTCTGTGAAACCCAGGTTGTCCTGGCAGGACAAAGGCCTCAGTAAGGTCACATTTCCTTCACTCACTTTGGTCTATGGGTCCCAACAGGGCCACCAACTTAGGCACCCAGAGCAGGTGATCCCACGTCATACAGTGAGCTGGCCATGGGCAGGAGGCAATCTCGTAGGCTGGTTGGTTGCCGGGTGGACATAGGCTGTTTGTCCTTGCAGAACCTGCACACCCACGATCCAAAGGCATCAAGCTGTGGCCTGCAGACGTCTACTGAATGGCAGGTGGTGGATAGGCGCATCCCCGTGTACGCAAACCACAAGACCATCCTCCAAAAAGTGGCCTCGCTGTTTGGAGCTCACTTCTGACTGTGGGTTCTGGTGGAAGCTTCAGGGGCAGGAGTGGCTATCCACCAATGCCCAACACTTGGACTGCTTTATCTTGGCCTGACTGGCAGGTTAGGGTACTGGGTTGGGGTGGCAGGTTGTGGTGCTGGGTTGGGTGACCACGGGGATCTTAACAAGTCCCCAGAAGTGGTGTCCTGAAAGTCACCTCTGCTACAAGAAGAAGACAGCATGAAGACAGAAGTGCATTCAGTGGCTCCTGGTGCCCATGTCCTCAGGTGCCATGCCTTGACTTGGGCTTTATGGGGCCCTGTCCAGCAAGATGCTGCCACTACCCATAATCCTGCTGGAAGTACTACCTCTGGGGCAGGCACTATCCCCTGGAGAGACTTCTGTCCTCATTGTGGGAGCCTTCCGTCCCAGGTAGATTGAGGCTGAGCCTCCTTCAGGAGAAGACACTATCCTCATGACTCCTGGCCAGTGCTGGGTCACAGGCATTGGGGGAGGCAGTGAGGACTTTGAGCTGGATGACTGCCATCCCTGGACTTCAGAAGTGCTCTTCTGGAAGCACTCAAACAGAGCATCCCTGGCTCCAGCTGACCTGCAGGCTACAGAAGGTACCAGAAGAAGACAGGGCATCATGTCATGGCCTCTAGAGGAATGTACTGTTGGGAATGCTAAGCTTTCTCTGACAGGTGGCCTATGACTCAGGGATTGGTACTGGCTACGAGATCAACTCACAGCTAGGGTAGGGGTGGGCAATGTTGGGGTTTAATGGGATGGGACAATAAAAATCTGGGTATGATCAATCTATCTAAAAAGTAGTCTTGGGAGAGTTCAGGACTCAACTTGCACCACCATGAACAGAAGAAAGCTTGTGAGTTCTGGCATGGCCAGGGCCTCTCCCAGACCTGGGGGGCACATCCTGAGCTGCTCTGAGCCAGTGGAGGCATCCTGATTCCCAGGAATGAAGCCTGGAAGCCCAAAGGGATGTGATCTGATTGAGGGTCTCTGGGAAGTGACAGGTAGCCCAGCAATGGTTGCTGTGTGATTCCATGGAAGCTGGGAGGATGCAGTTCTGGGAGGTTGTTCTTTTTTTCCAGTTCAGGCTTCAAAGCAAGGTAGAAAGACAGGAATTCTAGAGGATTCAGGAAGCCCTCGAGATCCAGGAATCCTGAGAGATCTAGGAATTCTGGGAGAAACAAGGATTCCAGTGGCACACAGGAGGCTCTGTACTGTTGAGAAAGAATATCTTAAAGAAAATTGGCTCTGCTCTGACTGGCTTCATCACCCCTTGGCCACCCTGTGTCCTAAAACCGAGTCACTGCATGCACTGCTAGCACAAAGGCAAAGTGAGGGGTGTGGGGTGAGCATATTGGAGCAAAACAAACCCATCACGTGTCCATCATCTGGAAGATGAAGGTCATTTTTTCCTTCAAGGGTACCTCCACAATGACAACACCCCCCTCCCATTGAATCCCACCTCTTGAAGGTCCAACCACCTTCCAGCAGTACCATGTTAGGGACCAAGCCTCCAATGTTCAAGCTGTGAACCCAAATACCTAGGTCCAAGAAGGTAGGCAATGAGGAAACCCAGGAGATGAGGAAACAAAGATGTGTGGAGAGACTGCATGGAACCTTTCTTGTTCCCAGCTGTCCTTTAAAACGAGACCCAGACCAAACAGCTGCAGTCTAGCTGAAATGCTGACTCAGTTTCTCTGGATTCCCCATAGCCCATCTTTTGTCTTTGGGACCCATCACACTGAGGTAGACCAGTTGTCTTCTTAGCTTCCTCTGCCTGCAGCAGTGACTCAGACTTCTGCTGTCTGTAGTGATCTTTTCACTGTCGAGCATCCTGTCGTTCTAGACAGTGTATTCAGTTTGAGTTTGTCTGTTGACTTCTCACAGCTTCATGAGGGGACTCACTGGGTAGGACATTACCAGAACAGGGCTGAACCCTTCTCGAAGGGTAGCTACTGTCTTTCTGATCACTAAAGACATGATGACTTTAGTGTATTGACTAGTCATTGTAAACTTGACTGGACTTAGAATCGTCTAGAAGATGGGCGAGCACCTCTAGACAATCCTGTGAGAGTATTTCTAGAGGAGTTTAACTGAGGCAGGAAGACCCAGCCCTGGGTATACGCTGAATAAAAGAGGAAAAGTCAGCTGAATGCTACCATTCAGTCATTTTGCTTTCTAGTCCTCTAAGATGGGAGTAAGCAAGTCTTGAACAAATCCTGCCTTCTGGGCTATGGATGAACGCCTGCTGCCACGCCTTCCCCACCAGGAGGGTAGCCTCAAACTGTTAATCAGAATAAATCTTCCTGTCAGTCGCTTGTCATATTGTTCCCCAATGAGCAGAACAACCAGCGCACTAGGCCACATAGACGTTGCTTTCTCCGCTGTAGAGTTATCAGCTTTCCCTTTGGAGTTGATTGGTTTTGAGAGGTGCATCAACACTGTGGGACCCTGAAGGAAGTGGCTTGAAATAGAAAACCCTACTATGTGAAGAGGAAGACAGAAGGGGACGTCCTACCCTAACTTAACCAAAAGGAAGCAGGCATGGCTGTATTAATGGCATACAAGGGGGATTTCCAAGAATACACAGGCAATTCACAGTGATAATAGGGTCAGTGAGTCAAGAATACACATGGTCAGAGCATATGGGTTCGAAATGAGCAAAAGAGACACTGGTGGCTCTGGGGAGACGGTTCAGTTGGTAACACACTTGCTGTACAAGCATGAAAAACTGAGTTTAGATCCCCAGCACCCATGTCAAAAGAGTTATCACAGCATCTTGTACCTGTAACTCAGTGCTGGGAAAGGCAGAGATAGGAGGATTGCTGGGGCTTGTTGGCCAGCTGGGCTAGTCAAACTGGTGAGCACTGGATTAAGTGAGAGACACTGGAGGAAGGCACTCAACATCAACTTGCGGTCTACATCTGTATACTCTTGTGTCCACACACACCTTCATACATACACTACACCACACACACACACACACACACACACACACACACACACACGAAAAGCAGACTAATTTACAATTTTTAATTTTTTTTAACATTTTGTTTTAGCTGGGAAGTGGTGGTACACTCCTTTAATACTAGCACTCAGAAGCAGAGGAGGAGGATTTGTGAGTTCAAGGCTAGCTTACTCTATAGAGCAAGTTCCAGGACAGTCAGGAAGAGAAACCCTGTTTTGAAAAAACCAACCAAACCAAACAAACCCATCTTATTTATTATTGTGCTATGTGTGCGCATGCATGTGCATGCGTGTGTGCACCACAGCACACGTGGAGGCCAGAGGACAACTTTGTAGAGTCAGTTCTCTCTACTTTTGGGGGATTCTGAGATCTGAACTCAGGTCATCGGGCTTCAGTAGGTGCCTTCACCAACTGGGCCATCTTGATGACCCTAATCTACAATTACATCATGATGACCCTAATCTACAATTACAACTAGGGATTCAGTCCCCACAAATCAGTAACTTTTAGAGCAAGTTGGGGAGTTGGTAATTCCAGAAGCTTCTCTGTAACGTAGCCAGCGGTTTCCACCCCACAGGCACAGAACACCCCTGTGAGCAATAGAACGGGTTTTCAGACTGCACACAAGTCATCTCCAGATTCTGGACCATAAATGGGTCTCAGTAAAATTAAGAGGACCTGAAACATAGACTATATCTTCTGACAATGGATCTACTTAAATTAGTAATAATAGAAAGATTGCTGGAAATTTTCCAAACATCTGGAATTTGAACGACATACTGTTAAACCCATGGATCAAACAAGAAATAGAGAGGCTGATGAGATGGCTCGGGGGTTTGAAAAGCATGCTTGCTGCCAAGCCCGAGGACCCAGGTGTGACCCCTAGGACCTCATGGTGGAAAGAGAGACTCTGCTTCTCTAAGCTGCTCTCTGACCTCCACACTCTTGGGTGGTATTTGCCTGGTCATACGGACACAATAAATATTCATTTTAAAAAGTAGAATGAGAGGTTATAGAGTATTTAAAACTTGATGATAATAAAAAATAGTCCAAGTTCTGGGAAGCAACTGAAACAGGATGAGAGGGGAGTGCCTCTGCTGGAAAAGGAAGCAGAGTCTGGGAGCTTGGCCCCTAGTTGAGGAAACTAGAAAGGGAAGAGACGGCTAAACACATGGGAGCAAAGGCCAGAAGAAAGTTCAGAGTATGAATCAGTGGGGGAAGAGAAACCACTTAAGCCCAAAATTGTTCCAAGTTGATCAACCAGTACATGTCTGTCCTGAATTATCAGAGAGAAAGTGCAGGGCACTGGAGGAGTCAGCCATGAGAGCAGTGCCAATCCCGTACGTTTCGTGGACACTAGAAGGGTTATAGGACAGTGAAAAGGTTAAAGGTCATTTATGTGACAGCTCAGATGAGATGGAAACTTCCTTGAGGAATAGAAAACATCAGGCTAAGGGGAAAAACTCAGCACTTGTGAATGTGCTAAATAATTCTACTGCATACAAAGACGGTGACATCATGTGTAAGGGTGCTTTATCCCCAAACAGAGGCCACTTTAACACTTGAAGATCAATTGCTATAATCCCATGTTACCAGGCTTGTGAAAACAAAATCCAACATCCACTCCTGCTTAAAAAGATATTCTCAGTAAGCTAGAGAAAGGACTGTCTTCTTTAAGTGCAGAAAAAACCGGGCTGTCCATATCTCATGTCTCACGCCATGCTCCCAGATCAGCTCCAAGCCCAGACTCACATGCAGATCTGGACATCTGTAAACTTTGTCTCAGGCAAAGACATCTCACATATAACCCCCCAAATCATAATCCTCCAAAGAAAGAAAATCGCTAAGTTAGACTCCCTCAAAATTAAAAACCAGCTGTGGGAAAAACTGTCAAGAGAATGGAGAGACAGTCGGCACAGACTGAGGAACAACATTTACAAACCATGCGTCTGAGATGGGGGTTTTCAAAAAAACTCTCACAGTTCAAAACGAAAGAAAACAAACAGCTAAAAGAAGAGCGATGGAGCGCGTACAAGAAACACCATGAACCTCTGGGTTGACACAGACCCACACCACAGGTCAAGCCACCACTCCACACCCAGAGTGTCTCCGATGACAGCTACCGGCCCATTAGGTACCATTGGCCGTGTTTCTGTGTTGTCAGTGGGGTATGACATGAAACCAGAAGTCAAACACTGCTCGTATTCATCAAGGCTGCTGCACCCTGCTTCCATTGTCATTCCGTTACAGCCCCAGATCAAAATCCAGCTGAATAGGTGAGCAGACGCAGAAACCCGCACACTGGACCTAGGAACTGCCCCGAGAGCCACTCAGCATGTTGAGCCTCGAAATAAGGAGGCCTATGTGATAGGAGGCCATTTATAGACCTCCTCGGAAATGCAGACTACTGTCCGAGGAAGGCAGGTGACAAGGGTGATAATAGGGTCGGAGCTGAGGATCAGGTCCCAGGGCGACGCCCCTGTCCACCTTCCTAGGGTGCCACCACTTTGGATTTGGGATTTGGGGTGAGAGACGTCAATCAGGCGGTGAGAACGCTCAGGGCCGGGCTTGGCCACGTGGCACGCCTCGGACACGCCCCTTACCAATGCCCTAGAAAACCGACAGCTAAACCCTTTCTTGCCATCTCAGGGCCTCACCCAGAGTCCGCCCCCGTCAGATCAGTTCAACTACCAAGCCCCGCCCATCACACGGAACTCCGCCCACAACCTTGCGCACCCTTCCTCAGTCTCCGCTCTTTATGTTCTGGCTCCATCTTCTATCGTTTTTTATGAACTCTGTTCAGCCTTTCCTTATGCAATCCTCA